TAGATTAATGCAAAAATAATTTTTATTTTTTTCAATTTCCTCTCCCTTTATTTTTCAAATTTTTTCCTACAATTCCAACAAGAAAACATTTTTAAAAAACAAACAAAATAAACAAAAATCTCACATTTAATTCACTAAAAAATAGAGGTTAAAAAGCTCAAACACAAACATACAAAACAAAAAAATCACGAGCTTAAGTATATTTACTTTTAAAAAATTTAAAATTTTTTTGTACTTTTGTTAACAACTTCATACACTCATTTGTCAGTACAATTCCAGAAAAATTTCAGAATTTTAACAAACCTTATGACTACTTCAAAAAAATATAAAATAATAAAAATAAAACCACAAAACACACAAAAACATACTGTTAAAAAATTTAAAAAAAAATTTTTCATTCGTTATTTTATAAAAAAATTTAAAAATACCAAAACCCTGTTTAACCCGAGACTTGAATAAATTAAAAAAAATTAAAAAAATTTCTAAAAAAAATTCTAGATCTAAAAAATATTTTTAAAAAAATCTAATGGTCGAAATGACTTGTGATTTAGCACCAGACCAGCAGTCAAAGTCACCCCTACCTCCACCACCCTCCACAACAACAACCCAACAACAATTTGAAAATTCAGAAAATTTTTTTGAGGGAGCAGAAAAATTGTTAGAAATTTGGTTTTTTGGTAAAGAGAAAAATTCTTCTCTTCGAAAAATTCCAAAGAATGAATTAGACAGATTGATGGATATTGCTGGATGTAAAATATTACAAGTATTGAGGACTGAACAAATTGACTCTTATTTATTGAGGTAAATAAAAAAAATTAAAAGTGGGGGAAATCAAAAAGATTTTAGTGAAAAAAAATTCAAAAATTAAAAAAAAATTTTTTGAAAAAAATTTCAATTAAAAAATTCAAAAAAATTTCAAAAAAAATCACAAAAATCCCCTTTCCCCCCTCCCATTTTTTGAAAAAAAAATTTAAAAATTTCTTTCTAGTGAAAGCAGCCTATTTGTATCTGATCGCCGCCTAATACTTAAAACTTGTGGACAAACACGTCCTTTACTTGTTATTAGTGAATTGCTTAAATTGGCACAAATTTATGGAAGAATGGATATTGTTACTAATGTAACCCAAAAATTCCGTTAGAAATTAAAAAAATTTTTAATTTTTCTTAGGTTTACTATTCACGCAAAAATTTTTTTTGCCCTCAACTACATGCTACGTTTGATGAGGAAATTAGTTTACTTGATGGATTTTTTGAAGGTGCTTTTATTAAATTAAAAATAAATCTTAAAGAAGTGTGATACAATGACCACAGAAAAATAGAAAGCATGGACCGTAGGCCCAAAAGAAAAGGCGCATTAAGCGCGTGGCCATTAAGCCCAGAAAAAAGTCGTAGGACAAACGTACAGAAAAATTTCAGTAAATTGATAATACAAGAATAGCAACAATAAAACCCCAAATCCCAAATATAAACCCCAAAACACGTCCACTGATTTTTAAAAATAAATCGAGTTTAATGAACCAAAAAAACCCAAAAAAGTACTCAACTAAAACCCTGACTTTATTTTCATTTTTTAAATTTTTTAGGAGGTACTGCTTATTGTATGGGCCCACTCAACCAGGATCGCTGGTGAGCCCATTTACTCAATTTTTTAAAAATCAAAATATTTTAAAGGTATTTATATACACTCACCTCATCTCCACCAAAAGCAATCATTGCCGCACACCAACCAAAGTTGCCTGACCACACATTGGAGCTGCAAATGACTGGCATCCCTGCTGATGTTCTGCGAATTTATAGCTGGGCAGAATGTCCAAATGGTGCTGCTGAATGCACTAAAGTAGAATTTAAAACGATTAAAAATCCAAAAAAATTTCTTAAAAAATTTTTAGCGTTCCGGAATTCTTGATTTACTTCCTCGAGAAACTTTAATACAAGACGAGCTTTTTAAACCCGTTGGTTACAGTTGGGTTTTATTTTTATTAATATAGTTGGGACCTCAATTACAAGAGAACCCCAATACCAAGGGTATGCCGAAACTGATTTATGACGAAAAGGCAAAAGCCCATTTAAAAAGCAAAGGAACACCTCTGCCCCATAAGACTGAAAAAATCGTACCCTAAACGGAAAAGTACCCAATTCCGGGAGTATTTTACAATTAGGTTTCCGACTGTATTTTTAATTTAAAAATAAAACAATTTATTAAAAATTTACCAGGCATGAACGGAGTAATTGACCATGATGAGTACGTCACCATCCATATAACTCCAGAGCCTGAATTTTGCTATGCCTCATTTGAAACAAATCATCGGCGAGGATGTCTTTTTGAGCAAACACGCAAAGTTCTGAATATATACAAGTATTTTAAAATTTATAAAAAATTTCAAAAAAATTATATTTTAGACCAGCACGCTTTATTCTAACACTTTTTGCAAGTAAACTTTCTGTTGAAGCTAGAGCTTCACAACAACGATTTTGGAAAGAAGAGTTGGAGGGATATAAACGAGCATCTGTTCAAATGCTTCGTTTACAGGTTAGGAAAAATTTTTTCCTAAAAAATTTTTCGAAAATTTACTAAAATTATTCTTGGGACAAATTGTCCTCCTTTTCTTAAGATAAAATTAAAAAAATTATTTTCCCCTTTTTAGCAAGACAAAGTTCTTTTTGCTTTGTTTGTACGGGATAATACTCAAGAAGAAAATGATTCAAGTTATTTTTATGATCAAGAAAATGTTCAATTAAAGAACAATACTCAAGTAATGACAAAAGGTGGAAATGATGATGGACGTTGTAATGAGCCTAGATGACATTTCTCAAAGGAAGAAAATAAATTAAAAAAAAAGAAAAAATAGAGACCTTAAAAATATTTTTAAAAATTTCACTCAATAAAATTTTTTATATATTTTTTGCGTAGTTGTAAATAAATTTAAACCGAAAACTGTTATTTTTCAGCTACAAAATAGTAAAAGGGTCAACATTTATATTTAAATAAGCCTAAGATAAATGCTAAACAAAACGTGCTGGTGTTTTTTTTTTCAGAATTAATGTAAAACATGTTGACATGTTTTACAAACATAAGAATTAATTTAAAACATGTTTTATCGGAATTTTATATCAGAATTTTGTAAAAACATAAAAAATCAGAATTTTTCCCAGAACATTATTCAAACATGTTTGTTATTTTCAGAATTTTATAAAAACATACAAAATCAGAATGTTTTGTTTCAATTTCAGATAAAACATGTTTTAGATTTTCAGAATTTTTAAAAAACATTTTCAGAATTATTTTCCAGAAACAGGCTTATTGGAAGAACAAAAATTACTCAAAAACATGTTTTGTATTTTTCAAAATTTTATAAAAACATAAAAACCAGAATGTTTCTATTTTCACTCCAATTTCATAAACCTTCCGGAAAATAATTCTGAAAACAATTATTTGTTTGAAAAAATACAACAACTATACCTAAACCGAAACATGTTCGTTTGAGTCATTCTCAGTCCAACATTGTCAATTAAAATTAAATTTTGTTGTTTTGTTGTCGTTATTCAGTTGTTGTTGTTGTTAAAGATGTTTTTAAATTATTTGATGAATGATGATGAGGCACAGCAACAACAGAAACATTCTAGGCTTTTTAATCAAAATATTAAAAAATAAATTTAAAAAATAAAAAAATATTTAATTAAATGTTCCTAATTAAATTTAAAAAAAAACAAAGTTTTTGTCTTTTCAATTTTTATCAACTTGAAAAAAAAATTTTAAAATTCAATAATATAATAATTAATAATTAAAAAAATATCAAAAGAAAAAAAATATCAAGTGAAAATTATTTTTTGAATTTTTAAATTAAAAAGAGTGAATTAATTATTTTTTCAATTTAAAAATAACCAAAATAATTTTTTTTAATAATTCACTCCATTTTAAACATAAACACAAAAGGCAGAAAATTATATAAAACAAAGAGGCGATTAAATAAAAAATATATTTCATAAAAATTGAATTTTAGCCTATAAATTCTAAAAAAAAATAAATATCAATTTTTCTTCCTGATTAAAAAATATTTAAAGGAAAGATAAATAAAAAGTCAATAACAAATAAATAAAAAAGAGGAGGGAGAGAGAAAACCCTGTCGAGAAAAAAATTTAATTTTTAAAAATATACAAATTGCAATTTTTTAATTAAAAAATAAATAGACGGCTCTCTTAATTTTTTTCTAGGCAAAAATTTGCAATTTTTGGGCATAAATATTAAATTAAAAAATTGAAAGAATAATAAACAATAGTAAAGGAATGAGAGAATGGCCTACAAAAAAAGTACATGTGTGAGCCCGTTTTGTTAAAATATAAAATATAGTATATACTCTATTAATTACCCTCCTCAAATAATTACCCTCTTTAATAATTACCCCCTCCCTTTCCTTCTCTAATTTCAAAAATATTGAAAAAATCGTCAATTTTACCCAAAATTTAGCCAATCCTCTCGATTAATTACCCCCTCCAGAGAGAAGTCGAAACAATAATTACCCAGGGTAATTAATAGAGTATATACGGTAGTATTGAAAATAAATAATTACAAAAAACAATAGTTGAGCCTAAAAATAAATAAATAGAGAAACATAATTGAGAGAGAAAAAATTCCAAGTTTCTAGCATTGTGTAAAAAAATTTAAAAAAATAAAAAGAGAAAGGCTTATTTTTAAGAGATGAAAAATTTTAGATTTTGGAGAAAATAGTTTTGGCAGTCCATTAAATTTCCTTATTGGTTCACCGAACTTATAAGGTATCGGTTTGGGTTATTTAAAAGGTAATAGAAAATCGAAAGAAAAAAACCTCGAAAATCGAAATTTCGAAACACCTCTGGTCCTAAAAAAATTTTTTCTCAAATTTCAAACTAAAAAAAATATTGGTCCAGAAAATCTTGTCCAAGAAAACCAAAAAATTTTAACCAAATATCTTGGCCCTTTCAATTCCCTCCAAATCTCTAATTAATTCATCACAAAAAAATTTTTAATGTTTCATAAATGAAGACATAAAGTTTAGCCCATTCCAAGGGAAGAAAGGACTTGGTTGAAATGGAAAACCTGCTCCTGCTCCTCCAGTAGGTGTTGTTGGTGGAGGCATTTGAAAGGCGGACGGAATATTTTGTTGTTGTAAATTTGGATTATTATTTGAAGGAGAAGAAAATGGTGAAGAATGATGGTGAGGCAATAATGTTGAAGCAGCTGCAGCAACTAATAAATTATTAACATCATTAGTATTACTTGAACCAAACAAAGAAGATGAATGTTGTTTTGAGGGTGTATCAACTAAAAGAGGTTGTTGGTTGTGTTGTTGAGGGTGTTTACGACGTAAATGTGAAGGTGGTGTATGTGGAGAAAGTAATTTAGAGTCAGAGGTAGGTGTTGTTTCCATTTTTAAACTGAAAAAAAAATTTTTTCATTTTTGTATATAATAAATTATATAAAGCAAACATTTCTGTAAAACAAGTTTTATACAAAACATTAAAAAAATTCATTTCCGCATTTATAAAAAAATTCAAAAATTTAATTTAATCTTTGCGCGCTCTCAAACCAAAAAAAATAAACCGTTCCGGTCAATTAATAATTTAATTTAAAAAATTTTTGAGAAGTTATAAGTAAATTTTATGATGTACCAAAAAAAAAGCTTCTAGAAAAATGTTAGAAGAAAAAGCAGAAAAAAAATTTTTTAAAGAAGACAAAATTTGTAAAAAATTTTAACTTGCCAAAATATTTTTTTATGTTTTTTATTCTTTCCAATTTTTTTTAATTTATTTTTTTTAATTTTTATTTTTAAAATTGTTCCATTTTTCCAATTTGTTTAAAAAAATCATCAAACTCTCTTAAATATAAAAACAAATTGGGTTGAAAAATCCCACTCAACCTTTTAACAAAAAAACGAGAATATTAGCCCGGGAGGAACCGTCAACCTCTTGGCAGTTATTATTAGATGACCAAAAATACTGATTGATCTACTCGGGGAAAAAATTTTTTAAGAAAAAAATTCGTACATATTCACCACCACTTTTAAAATCAACCTTAGACCTACACCTATTTTAAAGCGTTTAAAAAATATTAGACAACCGTCATTTCCTTACTTATTCATTTTTTAAAAAGTTTAAAAAAACTAACGTTTTAACATTTACACCGCCACCACCATGTTGTTGTTGTTTAGACATTATTGGTGATTCTAGCCCCTCCATCATTAAATTTTGTTTAATATCAGCTTTGTTGTCTTCATCCATATCAGATTCTTCTTCTTCAATAGATTCATCCCCACCACCATCACTACTTGCTGTAGAAGAACAACGGCTTAATTCACTATTGGTTGATTGCCCTTTTTGTGAACTTAGAGGTGAATCTAATTGTTGTTGTTTTATTAGAAGATGTTGGGGTTGTTGGGATGATAAATTTAAACCAAATAAATTTGAAAATTGTGAAGTTTGTGAATTATGATGTCCATTTAAATTGTTATTATTGCTGCTGCTCTGCCCTCCTTGTTGTTGTTGTTGATGATGATGTAATGGAGTGGTTGGATTTGTAGTAGAGGAAACCTTTTAGAAAAAAAATTTTTGAAAAGGCCAAGAAAGTTGGATAAAAAAAAGAGAATGATAGCCAATGGGACTCATTGTCAGTTTTCAAAATTCCTCCCTAGTTGAACCGTCAAAGGGGATTATTAACCGATCGTCACTACCCCTCAGTTTATAGCCTTGGAGAGAGAATTGTACCGGGAGAGTTCAAAACCCTGCCCAGGAGTAAACGAAACAGAATGGGACCAATAAAATGTTTCGAGGATCGAGCCCAGTTCCAGTAGGTGGGCAGTTCCAGTAAAGGGTATTGAGGCTTATCCAAAAAGGATTCCAAAAAGGGAAGCTCAACATTAAAAAAATTATTCAAAAAAATCAAAACCTGTGCAGGCGAATCAGAATCACGAAGAACATTTAAACATTTCTTTTTACGTTTACAATGTTTACACCATTTAATTTGATTATCAACACCAAAACGTGCACGACACTTTTTTGAATCATTATTTTCTTTAAAAATATTTTTTCAAATTTTTTTAAAAAATTTCAAAAAAAAACCTAATGAACGTTCCCTTGTTCTACGCTTTTTAGCCTTTTTATGTATTGCATAATTCTCACGAGCTGTCCAATTTGGATAAAGTCGTTGGTGTTCTTCACGTTTTAATGTTGCCATATCATAATATGGTTGTTGTTCATCTCTAGTCATTCTTTGCCAAACTTGTCCCAATTCTTTATTTAATTCTGCTGATTGTTTTCTTTTATCAGCACATTCATCCATATATTTATGACGATTTTCTTTCATAAACCTTTGAAAAATAATAATTAGTGTCAATTTTTAAGAGTCATTAACTGGGCAGAAGCTTTTTCAGAGATAAAAATCTAAAAACGTAAAACCCTGATGCATTTAAAATTGCCAAAATCGGGGGTTCTAATCGGGCACGGACTTGTTTACTGGAAAGGGCGGCAGTTTTAGGAATAAAGTCTGTAGTCATAAAACTCCGATAACCTTCAAAAATGTTAAAGCTGAGTTCTTAACAGGTATAGGCTTTTTAATTGAACCAGGAACATTTTCAAAGCTAAAAATCTGAAACAATAATTTCTTTGAAAATGACAGTCAGGGTCACGAAAACATACGAATTAAGGCTGTTACGGGTTAAGAAAAATTTTGGTCGAAGCTCAAGTGACCAATGACGTCCCTAATATGTATGAATAGATCTCCCCTGCTCCAAATCTAAATTTAATTCTAAAAACTCATCCATTCCCCTCTATTTAAAATATTAAAAAAATAAAAACCGTACAACATAAAAGCATTCATTGGCTTCTTAATATGTTCATGTTTTCCATCACTATTAGTAGTTGAACTTTTCCCATTGTTGTGATAATTTTTTTCTTTAATTTTGTGTTCAAGTTTTTCACGTTTTGGGACTCTATTAAAAAAATTTTTTAAATTAAAAAGAAACCATTTTCTTACTTTAATGGTGTATTTATTGAAAAACGTCCATTATTCGAATGTTGTTGATGGTGTCTTTGTTGTTGTTCCAAACTATGTTTACGAGAAGAGGCAGAATTGTTAACTTCTCCTCTATCAGTAGAAAGAGAAATACCACCCAAAACACCACCAAGTGAAGACATTGGACTTGCCATATGTTGTTGAATTGAATAACCATTTCGATTAGAATTATTGTTAGGAGTTTGACCACCCATAGAAAAAGTTGGAGGACGTTCAAATGGAGCTGCAAAAAAATTAAAAAAAAATTTTAATCAAGAAAAAAGGTACTTGAAGGTTATCTCATACCAAAAGTACCAAAAATTTTTTAAAAAATACCTCCAAACTGCGGTCCAAGATTCGCAAAATTTGGTGAATGCCTAGCAATATATTGAGCAGCACTGGCAACATTGGCAACATATGCTTAAATTATATAAGCTTAAATTATTTTACAAAAAAAAAGTAAACCTGCTTGGGCTGCTGCATGTGCCATTGCAGCAATTTTTTGTTGATTAGAATATACAGGTGAAATAAGTGCTTGAAGTGTAAACCAATTCTGAAAATTCTGCAAAATAGGCCACGGCATTTGAGAAGGATTATATATCGGATTGACTTGTTGTTGTACTAAAGAAATAAGAAAAATTTTAATAAGGTAAAGAAAATCAACAAACAATTATAATCAGTCTGCGATTCAATATCTGCTTCAAATGCCAATTCATTTTTATCTTCAGCTAGATCAGCAGAACTTCCAGCAATCTCAGTTGGATCATCATCATTTACATCAGGATTTGAACGAAATACTTTTACTTCATCAGCAATTTCTTCATTGGGTACTGGAGAGGTTTTAATTGAAACTTTAATGTCATTTAAAGAATCATCATAAGCTGTGGATGTTGTTGTTGCAACTCCACCTCCACCAGCAGAAGTTGTTGTTGATGGAATATTTACACTATTATCCATCTAATTTAAAGAATTGTTGTTGTTCCCACCAATGAATCAAAATAATATCCGAAGAAGGATAATGTTTAGTATTTTTGATGAAGAAAATATCAAATGTTGTAAAATTCGACTGAAATTAATTTTAAAAAATTTTTAAAAAAATTCTAAAATGAGTAAAAAATATTTTTAAAACTCTCCCTAATTTTAAACATTAAAAATGAGGAAAAAAGAGAAAAAAAAATAAAAAATTGACCACAGATTTATGTTCTCTGACCACTATTTTTAGGCTTTCATAAATTTTGGCTTCAATTTTTTCTTATTCCCTATTTTTATGCTTTCACTTATTAGAAAATAAAAAAAATACACACAAAATACAAAGGGGACAGAACGTTAGAGCATGAACAAAAAAAGTACAAAAATTGAAAATTGAGGAAAGGAACAGAAAAAAGAAAAATTTTGAAGGGGAAAGTAGTTGGTCGCGCGGACACAAAAGAACAAATGGCTCGTAGTAAAATTCGCTATTGTGCGCAGGTTCTCTCTCACTAGTTAGTGGGAGAAGTAGTGTGTTTGGCGGCGGTTTTTTGAAAAAAGGACGCCGTAATAACAAATAGCTATTAAAAACTAGAAAGGTTTTAAAATAAATTAACTAGAATAAATTTAGTAGAAATTATGGGGGTTTTTATAGTATTATAAAAATCAGAATTTTAAACAAACATTACTACTAAAAATCAGAATTTTAAACAAACATTACTACTAAAAATCAGAATTTTAAACAAACATGAGTACTAAAAATCAGAATTTTAAACAAACATGAGTAATAAAAATCAGAATTTTAAATAAACATAAGGAAAATTTCAGAATTTTAGGTAAACAATAAAACCAGAATTTTAAATAAACACGCGAACAAACAACATAATCAGAATTAGAAAAAAAACATATGTAATAGAAATCAGAACAGGAGAAAACCAGAATTATTATTTTTACAGTTTGTTTAGAAACAAAACAAACAACGATTTAAACACATTTAAAAATAAACATGGATTAAAATCAGAATTTTCGCTTAAACCTGTTTTTAATAAGTAATTAATGTTGTTCATCCCTTATTTTAATTTCTCCCCTTTATTCCCACTATGTTGCAAAGAGCGCGGCATTTTTATTTTATAAAAGCAACAATTTGAAAATTGCGGGGCGCGTCGGTATAAGATTATAAGAGGTGGAAAAGGGCAAAATTATTTTTAGGGAAAATTGAACAAAAAAAGAGGAGAAGGAAGAGGGGTAAGGGGTAGAAGCGGCGGATAAAATCAAAAAAAAAGAAAACAAAAGAAAATGAAAGGGAAAAATGCCGCTAATTGTATACATAAATAGGTACATATATTATTTATTTAAATGAGGGCAGAATTTTTAAAAATAAATTAAAAACTGAAAATTTGAACGGAAAATTGTAAAAGGCTGCTAGAAAAATTAATAATTTTTGATAAGGAAAAATTTTAAAAAATTCAGAAAAAAATTTCTGAAATATTTTTAAAATCTCCATTAGAAAAAATCCCAAAATCAAAGAAAAATAAAATAAAACAAAAAATTTTTTTGAATAAAAAAACTTAACAAAAAGACCAAAAGAGAGTTGCGCGCCTAATTACTATTTCCTCTTTCTTAACTAATTTTTAATTGAAAATCGAGAAAAATAAATAAATAAAGATAAATGAAAAATTAGGTGAAAGATAATAAATATTTAAATGAAAAGAAAATATTCAAAAAAAATTTTTTTTAAAGAAAATTTCCAAGTTTTTTGTCGGCGCCTTTACTCCCTCTCCCTCTCGCGCAGCATAAGAAGGGAGAGGAATATTTAAAAAATATTTTCTTTGAAATTATTTTAAAAAATAATAATTGACACTTTCCGATACAGTAGAAAGTTATAAAAAAATAACTGATTGATAAATTAATTTTTATGAAGAAAATTAAAAAAATAAATCAGGGCCATAAGTAACAAACAAGAATAAAATTTTGTACCAAAAACACTAATTTAATTAATTGCAGTTGTTACAATTAACATCACCTTTATAGTATTATAAAAATCAGAATTTTAAACAAACACGGGGAAAACAAAGCTCTCAAAATCAGAATTTTAAACAAACATGAGAAAACAAAGAGTAATAAAAATCAGAATTTCAAACAAACATGTTAAAAATATAGACAACAAAACATTAGCAATTAAAAATATTAAAATAACATTAAAACCATTAACAACAAACATTAAATAAAATCAGAATTTTAGCAAAACATAATCAAAACATAAGTATTAAAAATCAGAATTTTTGACAAACATGAAATAAAACATTAAATAGCGCAATTAATAATAACAGAAACATCTTCCCTCCCTCCTTACTATTATTAAGTCAATAAATAACAAGCCCCGATCAATGGGAGATAGAGAAAGGGCACAGAGATCAAAAGAAAATAAAAATTTTTAATAGGCCCCCCTTTTATATTTTAAAACTGCTACTGATTTTTGCCTCTACTTTCTCTTTTCTGTTTAAATTTATATATAAAGGGCCTCAGCTGGCTCTCTTGATAATTTTTAAAAAGAAAAAACAAGTGATAGCTTTAAATAAATTTGGAAAAAATTTTGGAGAGAAAAAAGAAAAAAATTTTAGAGAGAGAGAGAAAGTGATTAAAAATAAGAAAAAAATATTCGAGAGTGAAAAGGACAAAAAACATTTTCTTGTTAAATAAAACATGCAACACAACAAAACTAAAATATATGCAAAAGAATGTTGTTAAAAAGTTAAGTTTTACTAGTGTTATAGTAGAATAATTAAGTTTGTGTTTTTAAACGGAAAAACGTGAAAAGGGGGAGAGGAGGAGATTTTAATAATTTTATTAAAAAAAAATTTTTTTTAATTATTTTTAGTGGCAGCAAATTTTGAAAGACCGACGGACGATACAATCACTCAAATATTCCCCCCTCCTTCCATTAAAAAAATTAACAGTTAATTCCTCCAACTTTTAACAGAGAGGAGATTTAAATAAATTAGTTAAGTAACACCCTAACACAGAGTTAGAACACAACTATTTGTCATTTTTTTGTGTTTTTAAAAAATAAAAAATAAAAATCGAAATATAAAATACAAACAAAGGATTTAAATATTACAAATTAAAAATCAACTCTCGATAAAATTAAAAAAAAATTCTGCAAAAAAAGGAAGGATGACAGCAAAAAGGGTATCTGTGTAGTTTACCCCCCAACCACCTCTTTTTCTTTTCTCCTCCTTTTCCTATAAGGTGGCATTTGGGTCAATATTTTAATTTTTATTTATTTCAAGCTTCTTACCTCTCCAATAAAAGGAATAGAAAAGAAACGGAAGAGAGAAGAAAACGGTTCGGTGTTCATGGGGGGTAAACTACACAAGTGTCCAAAAAATTTAAATAGATGGTAGCTAATGATTGAGTAGAACAAATATACAAATATAACAGAAAAAATTTTAAATTTTATCCCAAAAAAAGGCAAAAAAAGATAAGATGTCTCACCTACCTATTTTTCTTCCCCTTCCTCCTACTTTGATAGAAAATCATTTTTTTTTCTTTACCTTACTAATAATTAAAAAATATATAATCATCAATTAAAATCTCTACTTTTTAACGGCAAAAAAAAGTTTTTTTTGCTCAAAAACGGAAGAAGAAAATATTTTAGATAACTTTAAAAAAAATAACTGTCGGCGGCGAAAACTAGTGTGTTACATTATGAGATGCTCGAAGCCTTGAAGAGAGAGAGAAAAAATTTTTGAATGACAAGTGAAATTATAATTATTATTTTTTAAAGAAAAAATAATAATTATTAAAATATTCTTTGCTTTTTTAAAAATTTTTTTGTGTAAAAATTAGGGTTGGGGCCGCGTCCGGTATCCGAAAGATCGAGTCTGGCATCAAATTTTGGCCCGTAAAAGACTCGGTCAGGCCGATAAAAAAGACTCGAACGTCGGCACGACTCGAAAACCCGACCGTAGTAAAAAAAAATTTTTAAAATCAAAAAAATTTTTTTTAAAGTGCCAAATTAAAAAAAGCTAAAAGAAAATAAATAAAGAAAAAATTGAAGAGAAGAAAAGCGAAGAAAAAAACTACCCCCAACTATAATTTTCTGTCCTTAAATAAAAATGCCATTTTTTATTTCAAATCAAGAGATGCCGTCTGTTCGAGTCACTTTTTTCGGATGACTGATCTACTCTCTTCCTCCTCCTCTCTCTCTCTCTCTCTCAACTAAAGAGTCGCACAATTAGGCCCAATCTCCCTCACTTTTTCCTATTAATAATTTTTTAAATTCTTTATTGGCCAAGGGAAAACGAAAAAAAAATTTCTTTCGTTCCTCCTGAAACCAATGAAGAAAAGTGAATAAATAAAAAATATGCCGGACATTAGGAGGAAAAAAATTATTTTTTATTTTTTTGGCACTTTACTTTCGTTCTCCTCTCATTTTTCATATTAGAAAATAAATATAGTAAGAAAATAAAAATGTAGGAAAAAGATATTTACTAGAACGTTAGAGAAAAAAATAATAAAATCTACTTTCCAAGTCGCGCGACCAAATAAATAAACTACTCCCCTTCCTTTCCCCCCTTCCACCTCAAAAATCATTTTCTGCCATCGCGTTTCCGTCAGTGCCGATAGGGACAAGTAATGTGCTGCTTGCTTTTTCTTCTTCTGCCGAGGTAAGGAGGTTGGGGAGGAAGTGCTGTTATATTGCTGTTATTGCTGTTATTATTGTTGGTTTTGTTGTTGTTTGGCGGCGGTTTTTTGAAAAAAGGACGCCGTCCACTACCCTAGTAGACTACTTAATATATCTCTCTCACGACAAAGTAAAGGTTTTTAAAGAAATAAGGGGGGCCGTAGGGCAAAATTAACCCCCAAAAAATTGAGGACGATGAAGAAAAAAAAGAAAGGGACTTTTCGACTTAAATAAAAAATAAAATTGTTTTTGGTTGTTGTTTTTATTGTCAGTTGCTACTATAATGAAGAGATGATTAATAAAATCAAAAATTGAGAGAGAGAGGAAATAAAAGAAATTGTTAAAGAAAAAGATGAGAGGTCGATATCTTTTTTTTTTAATTTAAAATTTAAAAAGGAAGTGAATTTTTTTAACAGCAAAAGCTTTGCACCATTTAATTCTTAAACTATAGGATTGTTCACGACAGGTTATTAACCGGTACCCACGGTTTTCGCTTTTGAGTTTTAGACAAATCCCGGGTTTTATTTTGGGATTTTTTTTAAATAAAATCACTCGTTTTCAGAAGTTTTTCAGAAACAAAAAATATCAGAATTTTTGGATTTGAAACTGGTCGTGCACAACCCTATTCTAACAATAAGCTTCTCATTAAAAAATTTTAAGCTTGAAGAAAAAATAAGGGAGAAGAAAAACACGTTTCCGCTAGTGCCGTTAAGTCTTCTTTTTTTATTGTCTCCCTATTTTTTATATAAATTAAAATCTGTGCCAAAAACAACCACCCCAACTTTTTTTGTCGGCATTAAAAACAATAGAAAAAAGAAAAAAAGAAGGCACTAACTGGCAGATTTAAAAAAATTGGAAACAAAAAAATGGTAGGGGTATTGACGCTTTAAAAAGAGAGGGAAAAAAGACTTCTTTTTATTGCCGCCGCCAAAAGGCATGTGCGCAAAAAACGAAAAAAAAAGAAACAAAAATTTTTTTATTATTTTTTGAGCAGGATTGAATAGAAATCTCCGGAGGGATTAAAAAAATTATTTTTTTGAAATTGAATATCTTCCAAGAATTATCTTTAAAAAGATACACCTGCTTCTCTTCTTGGCGTTTTCCTAAACGCACAACAAAAAGAAAAAAATTTATATAAGTTAGCAATCGAGAAATGGAAGAAGAAGAAAAAGCAGCAGAAAAAGCGGCAGAAGAAAAAGCAGCAAATATATAGCCAAAAAAAAAAGAATCCATAGAAAAAAAAATTCTTTAAATATTAAAGTAACTGATATAAAATAAGTGAGTGTGTGTCAGTAAGAGAGGATTAATCGGAAATTAAAAAAAAATAAAGGAAGAAAAAGAAAAGTGTGGGGTGATAAATACATTATTGCAAGAAAATTATAAAAATAAAGTTTAAAAAACAATACAAAAAATTCTAAAAAATTTTTTAACAAAATTAAAAAATAAATTTTGAAAATACATCAAAAGATGCCTTAAAAAAATTTTTTTTAAATAAAGTAATAAAAAAAAAATATTTTTTAAAAAAACAAGTGGTATACAAATTTAAAAAATATATAACCCAATTAAAATTAAAAAAAAAATAGGAAGAGATATACATACATATACCTTTTTAAATACTTTTTAATTACTTTATATAAAGCGCGCAAGAAACAATTAAACAATTTAAACAAATTCAAAAAAAGACCACACACACATATCTAATTAAAACATGTTAAAAACATGCAAGAAATGTTAAAATAATGTTGAGATATTTCTTTATAGAATGCCTAAATGACTGAGTTTATTTTAAAATTGCTAATTAAATGCCCTGGCATCCATAGAAATCCCTTGCCATGGCTAATGGAATGCCCTAGCATTCAATTTTTAAATCATCACCCTTCAAACAGGCGCGGCATTGGAAGGGGCACCTTCTAGGTGTTAGAAATTCTATGATATTTTAAGGTGTTTATTTATCAATTTTTTTTACAAAATTTACTGAATGAATTTTAAAAAATAATGGCAAGTTGGGAAATTTATTGAATAAGGAATTAGCCAAAAGAATCTAATCTAAACAACAAAAAATATTTTCTCCTCAATTTTTTTAAAATAAAAAGGCAAAATAAAAATTAAAAAAAAAAGTCAAATATAAATAAAGGCAAAAGCAATATAGCCAGAGTTTTTGAATAAATAAAAATGCTCGCGCATATAAAAATAAAAATTTGACAACAATGCAAATAAGTAGCGATTGAAAAAAAATTTTTTAAAGGGAAAAAAATTTTTTCTTTGGCCAAACAAGGGAGGGAAGGGGATGTGAAAAAAGGTGGGGAAGGAAGAAAAAAGAAGAATGTGAAGAGCGGAGGATAAGAAAGAAGAAGAAAGGTGGGTGGGGAGAAGAAAAAAGAAGGAAGGGAAGAGGGGAAGGTTAATGGAGGAAAGAGAAGGGGAGGGGGGAGGTTAACGGCCAAAGAAGAAGGAAAAAATAAAAGCCCCCTTCACCCCTCTTAAAATTTTAATAATGGAGATCAGTCGAGTCAAAGACGTAAAACTTGGACACTTGAATGTTTAGATAAACTAATTTTAGGTTCAATTGATAGAGAATTAAATTAGCTACCAAATAGAAGCTAAAATAAAATTTTTGGTCATTCCATTAGAAAGGTATAGAAACACACACATGAGGGGTAACAAGGAGAAGAGAGGTTTGAAAAAAAAACAACCAACTTTTCTCCAAACTTTTTTTTTAATTTTATAAATTAATTTTGGTAATTAAATTAGCTACAAAAATAAAAGTTTAAACACAACATTTTGGTCATTTGATTTAGAAAATAAATTAATCGAAAAATCAGGTTGCAAACAAATGGAAGAATAAGGTAGGTTTGCAACAGGGATTTTAATTTTTGGATCTTCTCCGTTTCAATTTTTATTTTCTTCCGTTTTTTAAAATACGGCAGGATCCCCCTAACCCTAGTCTATAAGCTGACAAAATTTTTTTCCAAAAAAATATTCAGTTAATTTAATTTTGTTTTTTTAGCTAATCCTTCAACTAAACAATAAAAATTATTTTTAAAAAATTCTACAAGTTTTTTTATAATTAAAATTAAATAAACAAATTCAAGAGACTTAATCAAAGACTGCCTTTCTTTTTTCCTTAGCCCTCTCTTCCCTCTCCCCTCCTCAACTCCATGCGACCTGCCAAAAAATTCGATTTTTTGAAAAAAAATATATTAGAGGATAAGGAAAAAGATAAAAAGAAAATGCTGGCAGATAGCGCCCTCCCGAAATTCTTAATTTTTTTTTTGCGCGTGCCGCGGCATTCATTTATATTGGCGACATTGACGCGCAGCCCACCTTTTTTCCCTCTCCTTCTTCCCCAACTTATGATTTTATTCCCGTGATTCTTTTTCCCTTACTCTCTCAAATCTTTAAACAACATTAAAATTAAATAAACAAATTCAAGAGACTTAATCAAAATTAATCAAAAACTTAATCAAAAATCCCCTGCCCTTCCTCTAAATTTTTTTCTCGCTTTTGTCTTCGATAAAAATAGAAATTTTTGGAAGTTGCGAGGGGATATGTAAATTATTTTCAGTTGGTCAAATTAACAAAAAAAAATTTTTCACATTTTGCCGATAAAAAAATTAAAAAAGTAAAAAAAAAGTCCTTAAAATTCACACCTATATACAAAAGTTAAAGCTAAAGGATCGAGAAAAAAAACAGAGACATATCGGAATGGCAATAACAAAAATAATAAAAAAATTCCTTTTCTTCAACAGGACCCTGTACTCTATCCAAGACTCATTGGGGCCATAGGTCCCAAAATCAGTAGGGAAACTTATTTATACATTGAAATATCCTATCATAGATGTCCATAATTGCGAATCATGTGGTTTTTTGACCTGCGGACTTCGGAATTACGAACTGCGGATTTAAAAAGAAAAATTATGGACTGCAGATTTTTTTTCCATTTTCAGACAACCCTGATCCCTATGACCATCCTAACAATTGAACAAACAAAACGAAAAGTACAAAAAAATTCTTTTAAGATTTTTGACATCATTTCCTTATTTAAAAAAAACTTGTAATTTCCTTTTCTGGTCAAAAATCAAAATATTCTTCCTATAATTTCACACAATAATAATTAAAAAATAAAAACCCCAAAAAATGCATGAGAATGAACATTAAAAAATGAATAAAATAAATTTTTATCAAAAGAAAGCGCCGCCTAAAAAAATTTTTTTTCCTGCTTTGTTTTAACCAATCGCGCCTTGAGGGTGTTGTGGCGGTTAAATTTCTTTTGATGTTGATAAAATATAGGAGAAAAATAAAAAATGTTTTATTATATTAGGATTTTTGTGTGTTTCTTTTTATTGCAAATTAAAGTGCGCATATAAACATAGATAGTAGAATTAAAAATGTTTTTGATAGCTTAATAAAATAAGAGGAAGAGAGAGGAAGAGAAAGAAACAAAAGTTTATAAAAACATGTTTTGTTGGATGTTTTTACGATTAACATGTTTTTAAATCCCTTAGAAACATGTTCGTATGTTTTTCTGGTGTTTTTATACTTTCAAAACATTCAAAAACATAGTTAGAGATATATCAAAAGAAACAATAAAAACAACAAGAGAAAGAGGGAGGACTAAATGTTTTTATAGAAACAAACATGTTTTGTTGAATGTTTTTTTGGTAACATGTTTTTATGTTTTTAACGAACTTGTTTGTATGCCTTTTAAGTTGTTTAGAAAAAACTAGCGAACATTAGAGAAACAAAGCTTAAAAACATTCCGAAAACATGTGTTTTTGAGAGAATTAGAAGTGTGAAATAAACACAACTTATTAATTAGCTAGAGAAAATAAACAAATAAGATAAGTAGATTAAAAATAATATTAAAAATATATTCAATCTCTCGAGAGAAAAAAAGGTCAAAAATACCAACAAAAAGCATTTTTATTTATTTTCATTTTTCCTCCAAAAACAAAGAAAAATATAGAAAAGGACATTTTCACATTATCGCTAACCATAATCTTTTCCTCTCCCTTATATAAAGCCCCCAAGTGGCCAAGCCCCAAAATTTCCAAGTGGGAATTGGGAATATGGCTTGAGGGGAAAAAGAAAAAATTTTTTTTTTGATTTTTGTTTGTCTGCTTTTTATTGTTTTTATTTTTGGAGTAAATAAAAATAAATATAAAAATATATAATTTTTAAAATACTCCCCAAAAATGCAAATTTACAGAGGCAACCCAAAAGATCACCACTAGTGTTGCTGTTCCCCTCGTGGTGATTTTATGCCCGGGGACAAAAAATTTAGAAAAATTCTTTTAAAACATAAAAATATTTATTAAAAAAATATTAATTTTTGCAGAGTTAATTTTTCTTCTTTTATCACCATAAAAATAAATATATATTTTATTTATAAGCCCTTTTTTCAAAAAATAATCCCCCACATAGAGTTGCCTTATCAAAAATTTAGCAAGAAAAACAAAAAAAATTAATATAAAATCAATTTAAAGTAGAGAGGTGTTGAAGAGATTAATAAAAATAAATATACAAAAAAATTATGATAAGGAGCAAAAATTAAGAAAAAATTGAAAAACGAACGATGAACATACAGTTTTAATTTTAGAAGGTTAGTTGGTGTATGTTTCAAAGAAATTTAGGCAACGGCATGAAAAAAAAATTTTTTAATTTTAAAATAAAAGGAGGAGTTGAAAAATTACTCGAGATAATAAAGTAGAGAAAGATTAAAATTTTTTAAAGGATAAAATTAAAAAAATTTTTTCAAGCAAGCGAGGGGTTAATTTTTAAAAGCTGAGAGCGCTTTTTCACTTTCTAGTTCATAAAATGTATTTAAAAAGCATTGTGCTTTTAGTGTTCAAAAATAAAAATACCGTATTTCCTCAAATAGTACGGCCCCCTCAATTAGTACGGCCCCCTCTATTAGTACGGCCCTTTAGATGAGGGTTGAAAAATAGTACGGCCCCCTCAATTAGTACGGCCCCCTCAAATAGTACGGCCCCCATTTAAAAAATATAATAAATAGACAAAATTTGTTTTTTTAATCATAGTAATTATTCCTCGCAATATTTAACTAATTTATTGAATCTAAATATCTATTGGTATAGAAATAGGAGTGCTTAAGAGGATATAGGTGGATTAATGGAGATTATGTTGGATTTGGAAGGATATCGATGGAATTGGAATGATTTGAGTATGGATGAATTTAAATGGATTAGTTGGGATCAAAGTGAATAACGAATAGTTTTTAGTACTAGGAAGTTGGATTGGCAACTTTCTATCTAAAAAATTAAGGTATTTCAATCTATCTCCGCACCTATAGTAAATTATTTAATTAGAGAGGCCCACCCTAATTAAGAGAGAAGATGTTGATTGAATGCGTGCGGTGAATAATTGCCAGAGGTAGTGCAAGCAAGCGGGGTGAATGATTGTTGGTATACCATTTGGTCAGTCTCTAGGCCGACCGAACACTAGATCATTGATTAATACTAAGCCGCTTTTCCCTTACTATAATTAATACTAAGCCGCTTTTCCCTATTTTACTTTATCTTATATTCACCTTCTCTCTAGGCCCATAATCCCCAACGCCCTTGATTATGGACATCCCCATAATTTTTCCTACTCACTTAATACTAGAGCCCGGAATTTCGTACCGTACCGTATTTCGTACCGTACTACCGTATAATACCGATACCGATAAATACCGATGAAATTCAAAATTTTTCCGTAACGTATTACCGATACAAAAATTATTTAGAATAAACATAATAGGTATATAAATTTGTGAATAACAATCAACCTAATTTAAATTAAATTAATTCTAAAATGAAAATATATATTTTTTGTTTTATTTTGTTATTAATAATATTAGAATTAATTAATAATATACAAACTTGTGTATGTCCTAATTAGAGCTCGACATTTTCACTTTGCCGGGCCCGGTACCCGGGTTTTTTTCTCGCACGTAGACCCGGGCCGGGTTTTCCGGGCTAAAACCTCGAAAACCCGGAAAACTCGAAAACCCGGTTTTTTTACACCCGGGCCCGGACCCGGTTTTTTCAAAATTTTAAAAATGATCAAATTTTAGCTTTTTCGCTTAAATTTTTCTTATTTTGAATAGAAAATAATTAAAATTTGGTGTCATCTTTCATCTATAAGTGTTTATTCGAAGGATTTAGAGATATTCATGTGAATTTAACGGATTAAGGGAAATATTGATGTATTTGGCAGGATCTAGAGGGATTAATGTGGATTTACGGGATTACTCTTCACAAAACACGACGTAATCTCGCTCTACAAAACGCTCTACAAAATGCTTGATACAGATGTCATTATAGACGGGTCTTAAATTGGTTTGGGATAGTTTTTGAGCATACTATTGTGGATATATAAAAAAATTTAAACACAAAAAAAAAGATTCAGGGTCAACAAAAAAGATTCTGATAAATCCGAGGGAGGGTTGAAATATAGTACGGCCCCCTCAATTAGTACGGCCCCCTCAAATAGTACGGCCCTTTGGAAGAGGGTTGAAAAATAGTACGGCCGGCCGTACTATTTGAGGAAATACGGTATATAAACTAGTACTAAAAAGAAAAGAAGGGGTCCATTTTAGCGTCCTTTTAACTGAAAAGAGGAAAAAATTTGAATTTTTTGGGTTAAAAAAAAAGAATTTTTAGGAGAAAGTCGAAAAGAGAATGAAAAGTAGTGGCAGCAGATGGGCATATATTTCTTATTTTTAGAGTGTTTTAAAAATTGAGGGGATGAAGAAAATAGAATAAAATAAAAGTAGAAAGTTGAGAGATAGAAAAGGAATTCTTGACCAGAAGTTTAAAAAAAGGGAGGTTGTTTCTCGAGCAAAAAAATTTTTAAAAAGTAGAATAAAAAATTAAGCGAAAGGATAAAAAATAAAAATAGAAAAAAAAACAAAAGTTGGGAGGAGACTTAATTTTTTTTGAGAAAATTAAAGTCAAAATTGAAAAATTACGGATGTTCATTTTTTTCAAAAATAAAGCAAATTAAATATCTGGCAATTAAGTCTATGAATAAGAAAACCGTAGAAAATAGGAAAAAAAATTTTTGAAAAATTAAAAATGACCTACACGTACATTAAAAATTATAGCGGATTAAATTACCTCCCCCCAAAAAATTAATTAATTACCAGATATTTAATTTTAAAATAAATATTTAATTTAAAAAATCAAACCATACCTCTTCCTTTGTAACATACACAAACATTTTGACAAGGTAAATAAATATTAATATTTTGATAGATTTGCGGCGTTGATAAAAATAAATATAATAATAAACATGTTGTTGTTGTAGAGTAATTAATAAATAATCCATTCCTCAATAAAAATTAATTAAGTAAAATTTAAATTAAATTGACTTCTTAAAGGCTAAAAATTAAAAAAAAAATAAATTTAATTAAACATATTTTTAAAAAATTCCGAAAAAGTATCCGAAAATTTTGCAATTATTGAAAAAAAATTTCTGAAAAAATAACGAAAAAAATTCTAAATTTTTTGCCCAGAAAAATTTTCAAAAAATTCTTTTTCAAAAAAAAATTTTCTTTGTCCTTGAAAATTATTTAAATAAAATTTAATAAATATATATTTAATGTGTAAATTAATTTACAACATTTTTTAAACCAAAATAAAACAAAATAAACTAAAAAATTTTTAATTAATTTAAAAATTTATATAAAACTACTACAAAATATTTAAACTTTAATTTATATATAAATATATCTTTTTTTATATGGGATATTTATTATTTAAAAAAATATATATTTTTTAAGCTTATTAATAAAAAATTTCTTTTTAAAAAATTCATTTTTAAAATAAATTTAAACAAGGAAAATTAAAATTTCTAAAGAAATTCTGATTTTTATTAGAAATTCAGGAAAGCCTTCAGAAAACCCTCAAAAAAATTATTCAGAATTTTTTTTCAAAAGAAATTTTTTTAAAAAACGGCAAGGAATGAGAGAGAGAATGAAGAGTGAAAAATTTTAAAAAATCAAGCGAGATAAAAATTTTTAAAAGAAAATAAAAGGAATGCAAAGTAAATAATTAGAATTTTTTTTGGAGAAAAATGGCTACACGCGTTTTTAATACAGATACAAATATTTTTTAAAATTTTAGAAGATATGTGTTTTAAAAATAAAATAAAAATTACAAAAACATGTTAATGTTTTTATAGTATTTAATTATTTGTTCGACAAAAGAAAATTCTGATTTTTATTTGTATTTTATATAATTAAATCAGAATTTAATTTCTGATGTTTAGATAAAATTCTGATATTTAAAAATGTGTTTTTCCTAGCAAACTAAAATTCTGATTTTTGAACAAATAATTCTGATTTCCCAAATAAATAATTCTGATTTCTAAACAAATAAATAATTCTGAAAAATTATTTGTTCTGATTTTTTAAATTCTGATTTTCTTCAGAATTAGAATTAGAAAAACATTCTGAAAAAAATTCTGATTTTTTTATCTTGTATTTTTGATTATTTGTTTTAAAAATCAGAATTTTATTTTCTGTGTATTTTCTTTGTATTTTTATTTGTATTTTTCTTGTATTTTTACCTAACCAGAATTAACCAGAAACAAATAATAAAAACAAAACAATTGATATTATATAATTTCAAAGCTTTGTAAAAGGAGATATGCGCGCCTTTTTTAGGTCTAAAAATATTTAAATTTTTCTTAAAGGTTTGCCGATGTATGCAAACCTGTGGGAGTTTTAATAAAAAATAATTTTTTTTCTAGAAAAATTATTTAAATTCAAGACTAGAAGGGAAAAAGAAGAAGAATGATTATTTACAAGTGAAAATAAAATTGATAGTAAGTACACAGTTGGATCTCTAACTATCAAAAAATATAAATCCTTTTGACTCAATGTTTCCATTATTTAGGATTAAAGGACTATCGGATTCAACACAAATCGAACAGAAAAACACAAAGATTTTTCGGTTCGTTTTGTCGGTCCTTCGGTTAACCAACAAATTTGATGAAAGCGACAACACTATTTAGGTTACTAGGAGTCTCTCCCCTTCATTCTCCCAGTAAAAAAAAATCAAAATTTCAAAACCAAAACACAAAATTAAGGATATCTAAAATTTTGAAAGAGAGATCCAACTGCATCCTCAATTAATTCAAAATTATAATAAAAAAATACTTATGTATGTCCACAACACATCAAAAAAATCTAGCACAACGCGCATATATTCTAATTGAATTGATCACACACACAAATAGTAAATTGAATCCAAAAAACGTAGAAGAATCATTTTTAAACTTCAGTGCCTAACGAAGAAATAGGTGGAAAATTGGTGTTGTTATCATCCTGATTGTTGTTGTTTTCCATGCCTTCCTTACATGTAGAATTCTTTCTGTCTTTAGCCAAGACAGACGATCTATTGAAAAAAAACTTTCGTTAAGAAAATTAAAAAAAATTTTTTTAGAAAATTTTCAAAAAAATTTTTTTATAGAAAATTCTCGAAAATAAATTTTTTTGAAAATTTTCTAAAAATCCAAAAAAAAATTTCTAAAAAATTTTTTTGAAATTTAAAAAAAAATTTTTTTCAAAAAAACCTTTCTTCTTCTCCACCAGCAACAGAACCACCAACACCACTACCATTTCTTTTTAACATAGCCTGTGCATAACTTCGTCTTTGCTGACCTAATAATACTTGGTGCTCTTGTTGCCCACCTCCACTTCCACAACTTATTGTATCACTTCTAGGAGTACGTGTTGCTTCTCCTCCTCCTCCAACAGTTAAATAAACATTTTCAACATTATTATTCATTTTTCGACCATTCCCCGAAGGTGTTGTACACGTAGCTGTAGATGTTCCAATTGTTGCTCTTCTTGGCCTTCCTCCATTTCCTCCCCCACCTGCTACAACAACAGAAAATGGTTGTTTAATTGAAAATAAAGAAGCTTGTTGTTGTTGGTCTAATAACAATTTGGGTGATGATGGTGATGGTTGTTCTGAATGACATTCACATGCTTTACGACTATTTGTTTGACTTAAACTTAATGCTGGAAATTCTTCTACATGTTCTTCAAAATTATAACTAAAATTAGAAAGTTATTAAAATAATAAAATGTGCCCCATCCCTTGGAATTTTTTTTTCGGGCCATGAAGACCCACAGAATGTGTCAAGCCTTTAATCCACAGAATGTGTCAGGCCTTTAATCCACTGAATGTGTCGGGCCTTGAAGACCCACAGGATATGATGAGAACGAGGAGCACCAATATTTTGAGGAAGAATAACTCATTGCCCTTAAGACCCACAAGGCGGAGAGGACCCAAATTCCTCAAAAAAAGCTTTTAAAAATCAAAAAACCTTGATGGCTGTTGTTGTTGTTCATCAATTTTATTTAATCCTTTCAGGTTTGAAAAATTATGTTGGTCAATAACAACACCAAATTCTTTTTCTGTTGACATGTTGCTACCCTCAGGAAAACGAATTGATGTTGGTCGCGTTGGACGGTTAGCTGAAGCAAATGGAGGTCTAACCTACAATATTGTAAAACATTCTCTTAAAAATTATGAATAAAAAATAGTACTTGTGTTGTTTCCCTCCCATACCCTACTTTTCTTTAAAATGTACATAATTAGACTTTTTTCCTTCATAAATTCATTTTATTTTTCCTAAAGTTAAAGAGGGTTAGCTTTGAATAAATGCCACGGGAAAACAAAATGAATTTAGTGTGACCATTATGTACATTCTAAAAAAAATTTGGGTGAGGGAGGGAAACTACACAAGTACCAAAAAAGAACCTTTCTATGTTGCTGAAATTTATTTTGTTGTTGCTGCTGTCTTTGGTATTGTTTCTCCAACATTTCTCCTTCTCCTCTTTTTTCATCAAAAAATAATTGTTGTTGTTGTTGTTGTTGTTGAAGCAAAACATTATTATTTGCCATAACAATTGGTGTATTATTATTCACGTTATATTCACTTCCACTACGTCTCATCACTGTTTTACTACTAGTTGAACCTCCTTTAATTCCAATTCCATCATTCTCTATCCACCTCTGTTGTTGATGTTGTCTTTTTATTCCAACATTTCGACCTCCTCCTCCTTGCCATTGACCTCCTCCCTCATTATTTCCAAGTTTTTGTTGTTTATTTAACCAATCACTATTGCTTGTAGACCATGTTCGAGATTTGTAAGGATTTGTGTTTTGTGCTCCTCTAAATGGTGGCGGTACTATTGCTTGATCACGTCCACCAAAAGATTTATTTCGGTCAAAAATTTTTCTTAAAAAAATAAAATTGAAAAAAACTTTTCCCACATCTGCCGTTTAAGGGGGCCGCAGTTCATTGACCATTATGAGCTCCCAATTTATTTTATTCTCTTTTAGGAAAAATTAAAAAATATGGGTACCAAAACAAAATACTTGAGAAAGTATAAGTCATTAGAAAAAGCTCGCCGAGCTGACAAAAAGTCGAATGACAACAAAGCTGTTCCACAAAAAATTATAAGGTCAGAGAACTGTGGCCCCCTTAAACGGCAAGAGTTCCCTAATATTTTTCCCAAAAACAAAACCTAGTATTCCCTGCTTGTAATTGTTGCACAAATTGATTAAAAGAATAAGGTGGATGTTGTTGCCCCGAAGAAGAATTTAAAGCTTGACTTAATGAAAGGAGAGGTTGAACGTTTCTAGTTATTAAAGCTGAAGAAGAATGTTGTTGTTGCTGGGATAAACTATGCAAAGGTGTCCATTGTTGTTGTTGCTGTTGGATATTTGTTTGGCGTAAATCAGCTTGAAATTTATTTAAATTAAGATTGTTCACGACCGGTTGATTTTTGCATGTGACGGCTCAAATTAAATCTCTCCCATTTGAGACGATACAGGCAAAAATTTTATCAGATGTGAACAATCCTAAATATGCTTTTTTTAAAAAAGGAACACACCCAAGCAAGCGCGCGGCCATAACGGTGCAAAGCCATAACTTGCTGGAAAATTTTCTAGCTCTTTACAATCTTGGTACAAATTTCTTTAGCCCGGTGAGAGGAATCGTTTAATTCTAAATCTAATAAGATTCGTAAATCTTGAAGCAAGTTATGGCTCTGCGTCGTATGGCCGCGCGCCTACTTGGTAAGTACCCTAATATAATCTTTTCCTTATAAATTTAATTAAAAAACCTGATAGTTTTTGTTGTTGTTTTGTTTGTTTATTAGTATTACCAGGTTCATGTTGTCGCCAATTTAGACTTATTGTAGCTTCACTAAGTGGACACAATTGTTGAATATTACTACAAGTTTGAGAAGATAATGATGATTGTTGTTGATGTGGTTGAGGACCTTCAGAACGTCTAGGACCATAAGAATTTAACAAGCTTTTTGGAATTTGCTGTTCAATAGAATTTGCTCTTATAGATTTTTGTGACCTAACAAGGAAAAAAATAAAAAAATATTCTCACAAAAATAAAAAAAACCTTTCGTTAATTTCCTTATCAATTCCCTCATTTTTCTCTTCAAAATGTTGCCGTTTTTGTTTATTCAATCCATTTGCAGCCATAGCAAGTTGATAAGCTTCAACACTTTCTTGACGCTGGAATCCTTTAAAACCACCACCACCGGCAATTGGGGTTTGTGGTGGTGGAGAAGAAATACGTCTATTAATAACTGCTGCAGCTGTTGCTTGATTGTTAGATACTGATGAGGCTAAAAAAATTAAATTAGCCGTAAAGCTCTTACTCTCAATCAGTACCCAACACCAAGTCTAGTTAATACAAAATGATTAGACTGAACCGTCTAGCTCAGTTGGTAAAGCCCCAGAGTCTCAATCTGTAGTCGTGGGTTCGAACCACACACCGAGTCTACAATTTTCTGACTGGGAAAAATGATTAGTCTAGTCTGTAAGACGTTAGACTCGAAGATCCCAATTTGTAGAACACCAGAACCGTCTAGCTCAGTTGGTAAAGCCCCAGACTCTAAATCTATATAGTCGTGGGTTCGACCCCCACATCGGGTCTAACCTTATTTTTCGTTGCCATTTTAGAAAATAATTCTCAATTATTTTGTTTAAATCGAAAAATTTTTTCAAAATTTTTTTTCAAACCATAAGAACCACTTCAAAAATTAACAAACCTCCTTTTCCATTAATTCGCGGATCATCAGTAATTCTTGGAATAGAGCTTGGCACAAGTACAGGTGAAACTTCAACACCAGTTTCTTTTGCTTGTTGTCGAATAATATTCTCATTTTGTCCAACTATTTAATAGAAAAAAATTAAAGTAAATATTTGATTCAAATTTCTATTCGAGTATTTCATTCAAAAAAACCAGGCTTGGTAATGGATGCGGTTATGAATACAGATAAGTACAAAATGCCTGCGGATATCCGTCTGTATCCTCCGCAAATATCCGGATACGGATACCAAAATCCATGTCCATTACCAAGTCAACAAAAAACGTCAAAACACCAAAACCCAAAACAAAGTGGTTCACAAAAATAAAACCAAACACACAAGGGGTAGAAGAATAACAAAAAATTATAATACACTTTTAAACAAATATCACAAACCATTTTTTAACTGAAGTTGAGGAACTGCTTCTTCATTTTCTTTCTCCTCCTCCTCCTCTTCTTTTCCTTCTTCTTCCACACATTTATCCTCTTCTTCCTCCTCACATTTCCCCACTTCTTCCTCTTCTTTTCCCTTCTCTTCATTTCCATCTCCTCCCTCCTCCTCTTCATTACTATCACAACATTCACTACCAACATTACCACAAACCTCATAAATATTTTGATTTTCAAAAGTTAAAGCATCTTGATAAAGTTGTTGCTGTATTCTTCGAAATGGATAACGTTGTTGTTGTTGTAAAAATAAAGCAAGGTCAAGTTGTTCAGGTGTATAACAAATATCTTTTAAAAAATAAGAATACAAACCACAGAAAATAAAATAGAAAAAAAAATTTAAAAAAGTTTTGATAACCAACCACAAAGACGGAAAACGCCGAAATACCAACCTCATCCCTAAAGACGTCGAAATATCAAAAAGGAAAGATTATTTCACTGGGAAGGTTGTTTTAATAAAGGGGGAGGGGAGGGGTTGCTACATCGAAAAGGTTCTTAACAAACCACTTTTTAATATTTTGGGGTCTTTTGGGGGGCGTTTGGTATTTCGGCTTTGTGATATGCTCCGTTTAAACCAAACAGAAAAACTTTAAAAAAATTTTTGATTTACCATTTCGTAAAATTGGTTGTGTAAAATAAGAAGTTGGTTGTGGCAATCCATTCAATAAAGTTCCAATTCCAGTAGTTGTTGGTTGTAAAGGTGGAAGTACAGAAGAAGTTGGTGGAGGAATGTTTGGACGAAATGTCGCCTTAAAGAAATTTTTTTTGATTTTTTATGAAAAGAAAAAAAACAAACTCTAGGAACATAACCATATTTTGCCAAAATTTGCCCCAAATTGAAAGGACCAGGAGAAGTACTAGAAGCAACAACAGCAATATTATTTGTGGCGGTAGAAGAAGCTGATACTTTTCTTTTTCTCATTTCCTCTTCCAATTCGTGCTCAATTTCACCAAAAAATATAAAAAAATTTTTACTTGGAAAATCTAAAAAAACCTCCTCCACCTCCTCTCTCACATGGACGTAAATGTTGCTGTGAATTTGGTGTTGTTGAACGTTCAATATCCAAATCATGAATTATTAGTTGTCCGTGTAATCCATTTTCTGAAAAACGTAACAATTGTTGATGAACATCTGGACTGTGTCTGTGATCAGCTCCAATGGGTGCCCCGCCATTTTTTATACGCGCCTTAAAAAAATTTTTTTTGAAAATTTTTTAAAAATTCTGGCGCTGGTCTAGTTTATGCGTCCAATGTAACCTTTTAAGACCACTGAAAGCTTGTATCCTTATAGGTGAGTCTGGGGAGCAGGCCAACTTACGGCACTGGTATGGTTCGATGATCTCGACGAGCTGTGTCGAACCATACCAGGTCGTCTCTGATTTGACAATTTGAACGAAGTTATATTATAGCTCTGCGGTAAGTTGGGGTGTACCCGTGGGTCTGCCATTAAATTCCCATTTCCCTACCACCTGACACGGCGAGTATTGGCATCGCAAACTTTCAATGGGCTTATAAAATTTTATTGGCCTCATAGTTTCATTGGACTCATGAACTAGACCAGAGCCAATTTTTTCTTTTCTCTCTCCACTTACAAAAACAGGCTTTCCATTAAACGTTTTCCCCAATGTCTGAAGATGAAAGAATGCTTGTTGAGTTTCTTCTTCTGTTTGAAATGTTACATACCAACTATCATTTAGACCATAAGCTAAAGAAAGGTATGGGGGACATTGGCCATCTTCACTTTGGAACATTGATTTTACTTCCTAAAAATTGAAAAAAAATTTTGTGAAATTTTTCGAGAAATTTTTTCTCAAAGAAAAGTCAAAGAAAATTCTCACAAGGGACCATTTTTTACTGAAAGTGCAAATTTGAAATATTTTTTGATACCAATCGATAGAGAACCCCCCAACTTACTATTGTAACGTGATATCCGTTTTATTGCAAAATTAATTTGGGCCGAGTTATGGCCGTTCAAAGTTTTGGATTTTGGAAGGTTCAGAATTTTTTTTGAATATTTCTCTACTAGATAATTTTCAAAAATTTTCCCAAAAAAATTTTTTTCTTAAATTAAAACATAAAATCTCATACATTTTCATCAGCATTTTGTGGAATTTCTCTCAAAATAATAGTACATCGTTTCGACATTGGTCGCACTTTTGTCCCACTTTCATCAACTTGTACTTGTGAGGAAGCTTTAATGAAAAAATCACTTAAAATTAAAAAAATCCATTTCCCTTACATTTAAGCACATTTACAATCAAATCAAAGTCTGTACTTAATTGTGCAACTTTTGGAAAATTTGCAACAATTTTTATTGGGACGTATTGATCAGCATCCATTTGACAACGTAAATAACGATCATTAATTAAATTTTCTCTAGAAAAATGAAATAAAAATTTTTTTGAATCTTCCTTCTTAGTAGGGTAGACCCAAACCCATTTACTACCTAAAAAATTTTCAAAAATTAGGGGGTGTACCCCCGAAGGTTGAAAATCAGAAGACACCCCACTTCACTCCGAAACGCCGACCCGGCTTGAAGGTTATGATGGGGATCGTTGTTTGTGTTGGGTAGCCTTTGAGATTCAAGTCGAAGATTTTTAAAGAAAAATAGACAAAATCGGCTTTTGGGAGACGTGGATATAACCGAAATGATATAGTATCGGGGCTTGGGGATTTTGCCAAAATTTTCAAGGTCTAGAGGTTCAGGGAACAGAGTGTTAAAACTTTAAAAAAACTAACCGACTAAAATAAAATTCTAATTGTTTTGTAAGTCTAGCCCTAAGTTGTTCTTCATTCATTGGAATAGCACCACAAATACTTGAAGGGGGTCGTTGTTCAGGCGTATTTGAACGAATAAATTGTTCGGGTCCTGGGACAGAAAGTAATTGATGACGACATTCTGCTGTGAACCACCAAGGCTAAAAAATAAAAATTTTTACTTAAAACTTGGAAAAAAATAAAAAAATTTAAGAATGGGACCAAATGTCTGACCTCAAAAAAGTATCAAAAATAATTATTTTAAAAAATAAAGAAAATTTTTAAGTGGTGGGACCAGATGTCTCTTCCCAAAAATTATCCAATAAAATAATTATTTAAAAAATAAAAAAAATTTTTAAAGGATGGGATCAAATGTCTCATCCCAAAAAATATTTAATTATTAAAAAAACCTAACCAGCATCGGCAAAAATGGGGAAGCATTAGAACTATTACAATTATTATTAGATTGATAATGATGTTGTCCCGGAGCCGACAAAGTTTCAGGGACTTTTTCTTCATTCTCCTCGGATTGTTGAACTTCTTTTATAGCACCATCCAAATCATTAACCTTTTAAAAAATTTTAGAATTTTTTTAAAAATTTCCAGAAAAAAACCTGTTTAATTACAAAGCATCTAGGCCAAGTTTCAGTACAAAGAAAAAAAGAACCACCAGCAGCACCAACACCTCCAACACCACCTTCTAAATCAAATCCTGGAAGCATTTAATGAAGCAAATCCAACAACTAACAAAAATAGATTTATTGTTGCCTTAAATTGTTTGTTCTTTTATTTAAATTTAATTAAAAATCTTTAAAAAAAATTTTTAGAACGGACAAAAAATAAAAAACGAGTTAAAAATTGGGAGTGAGCAAAAATAATTTTTTTTTCAATTTTTTAAAAATCGAGTTCATTATAAATTATTGGGTGGTCCATTAAAAAAATTAAAAAAAAAATACAAAAAAAAATAAAAAAAAATTTTTATATGAGTAGTTGAGTGTCGAGGCAGGGATTAAAAACATGCTGACTGATTGTGAGAGTCCCCCAAAATTTAATTTAAATTTAGTGTAAATAAATATTCAGAAAAAAAATAAATAAAGGAAGTAAAAAGAATAACGGAAATAAAAATAAGTACATAAATTATTTAAAAAATATTTTTAAAAAATTTTCAAAAAAATTTTAAAAAATTTTTTAATTTCAAAAAATAAAAAAAATAAATAAAAATTTTCTGGCTTAAAAATAAACCAAAAAAGGAAAAAAAATAAATAAAAATTCAATTTTGAATAATAATAAAAGAAAAATGTGTGCTAAAGCGGAATATTCAATTATTATATTTAAAAAAACCCAAATTTTGGGCGATTTTTTAATAAATATTCCCCATGTAAAGAAATATTCCTTAATAGAATATTGAAAAAGAAAAAAATCAGAATTATAAAATAAAAAACAGAATTAAAAATCAGAATTTTTAAAAATAGAAACCAAAAGCTGTGTAAAAAGAAGAATACCAGAATTTGATCAGAAATTGTGAAAAGGAAAACAGAATTTACAAAATAGAAAAATCTGAATTTGTAAAAATTTTAAAAAAATTCAGAATTGACGCGCAATAATAAATATAAGGTTTTTGTTTTTATAGAGTGAAAATGCTTACTTATTATTAAAGTGCTGACGCAAACCAAAAATAAATTAATTTTAAATTTAGTGAGAGAACACATAAATTAAAATTAATTTATATTGTAAATAAATTAAAATTTAAAAACAAAACAATAAATTAAAAAAATTTTTTAAAAAGCTCTCTCGTCACCGTTTTATTTTTAAACCCCAAATTACTCCATAAAACTCCCCCCCCCCCCCAAAAAAAAAATTTTTTTTTCTTATTTAAGCATAACCACCACCTCCCAAAAATAAAATAAAAAATGCATTATATATTTTAGAGGAGCGGTATAAATATATGGGATGGGCGCGATGATAATAAAATAATAAAAAGGGTTAGGAGAGTATATTAAAAAGAGAAAATATGACGTTGTAAAATATATACAAGTTGGGCGTGTGTGTGTCAGTCCATCTTCGTCAATGAAAAGAAAAATAAAATACAAATATTAAGTAAAATATAAAAACTATTTTAAAAATATATGCTTCTTCGACCAACCCTATTTAGTTAAAGAAAGAACAGAAAATTCAAAAAAAAAAGCCCAAACTTAAAGCGGGAAGCGATAAAAAAAATTAAAGCGGGAAGTGATAAAAATATTGAAGAAAAAATTTAAAAAAAAATTTAAATCAAGCTCCCCATTATTTTCTCATATATATTTTAAAGTGAGTAACCCTATCCCGAACCCGGTCTCAAAATAGTCTAGTATCAGACCCAAAAACTAATGATAAAAACATTAACTGGTAGACATTTTGTCGAATTTTACAGCTCTAGGAATTTGGTATTTAGAGTGAAAATAAAAATTTTCAAAAAAAAATAAAAAAAAACTTAAAACGGTAAGTGATAAAAATAAGCGGAAAGTGGTAAAAATGACTGAAAATAACGAAAAAAACTAAAAAACAATTTTTAATCAAATTTTAGGTCTAAATTGTCTAATTTTAGGCATTTTTAAATAAGAAAAAAATCTGAAAAAATAGACCGATAAAAAAGACGAAAGGTTCACGCATAGAAGTAAACCGGCTTTGCTTATTCTTCTTCCCTTCCTTTCCTTATAGGGTCTCCCATAAATTTTGGTAGTGGTTCTCCCCAAGTTTTTTTGTTCTTTGGTGGTTTATTTTATTTATTATTAAAATAGAGAGAAAAGAAAAAGCGTAAAAATAGATGAAAATATGAAGTTTTATTTTAATAATTTAATAAATATTAAAAATAAATTATTCAAAGAAAATTTACAAAAAAAAATTTTTAAAAGCAAATTTAGTATAGAAAAAGATAACTAAACTTGTGTAATAAATAGAAAAAAAAATTTTTAAGTCAAAGGCACTAAAGTGATACCCCATCAATAACTCAAAAAAATTTTCGTTTAAAATTTTCAAAAAATTGTAAACATACAATAGAAGGCACCAAACAGAAAAAAAAATTAAAAAGGTTTTAGCGAAAATATTGAATTTTTTAGAAGAAAAAAAATATAGTGAGATTGAGAAAATAGGATTTCAGGATGCCTCTTTTTTCCTGGAAAAAAAATTTTAATGGAAATTTTATCTAGAAAAAATATAACTAGTCTAAAAAATCAATTAGTGTAAAAAAAGAAAGAAACAAGCATTTTATAAAGGAGGATTGGAGTCAGGGATTTCCTTATTAGTTAGGGACTCGATTGGAGTCAGTACGACTCAACAATGAAGGAAGTTTCAAGGGGTAAAAAACTCGTAAAATTAGTGGGTACAACTTAAAATGGTGGGGGAGAGGGGGGAGTTAAATAAATTTTTTAAATAAAAATTAAAAAAAATTTTTTTAATAATCACGTCTTACGCTAAAATAGGAAATAATTAAAATAAATAAAAATAAATATTCCCAAAAAATTACAAATATAGAAAATAAAAAAAATGGAGGAAATAAACTAAAAAATTTTAATATGTTGCTTAAAAATAAAAAAAATTAGTAAGAATAAATTTAAAAAATTATGAAAAAAAATTATGAGTGTGAAAATATGAGTAATAAAATTTACAAACAAACTAAAAAAAGAGAAGGGAAACAAAGAAAAAATTTTTAAAGTTCCGGCTCCAAAGAATAAAAAACATGAGAAATCAAAAAAAAATTTTTTCCTTTAGAAGTTACCCTTCAGTTTTTCGTAAAATTAGGAGTTCGAACCGGACCAAATTTTCATGATTCGTTGGTCCCGAATACGGGTATTTTGATAAAAACAGGATTTTCAGAATTTTGATAGAGAAAATCCAGCCTGGGTAAAAAATTTTTTTTGACATCCCGAAAGCAGATTTTAAATTTGAAACTTTAGTGAAAATGTTCGGAGATGGAACCAGAGCTTTTCCAAATATGTATAGTTTCCACAGAGATTCGGTAATTCTGATAAAGTTAATCTCTACACAGCTATGGACTTTAACAAACTTAAAAGCCTAATTTTTGCGCTTGAAGAAAAATTAGGCCATGTTAATGTTTAGAAACATTTTTGAAATTTAAATCTGAACAGAAAACAGAAAAAAAAGGACAGAAACAACAACAAAAATATTATTTTATATACAAAAATTGAGTCTTTTTTCTACTTCCTTTTAATAAAAAGCTTTTAAAAAAAGAATATAAGAGAGAAAATATAAATATATTTGGAGGTAAAAAATAAAATAGAAAAAAATTGGAAGCGCAGCGCGCTAGTTAAAAGGAAAGAGGTAAAAAATAGGAAGCAATAGAAATATTTGGAGAGTGACGTGAACTTTTCTATCCTAAGCTATATCCTTATAGAGAAAAATATAAAAATGTTTCTACAGCTGATGCTAATACTAGAAAAGAGAAAAATGAAGCTATAAACAATTTTTTTAATAGGAAGAAAATATAAAACATAAAGTGACATTTTATCCCAATTTTTATTTTTATGAAATTTCAGGGCTTTTAAGGCTTGGAAACATTCTTATATGTAGACATTTTATTGGACACCTTTAAATAACCTCACTCTTATCGACAGAAAATTTTTTTGAAAAAACATCAAAAAGATTTTTAAATTTGGGATAAAATGTCACTTTGACAAAAATCAAAATAAATTTCCCTATCGAATGGATTTAAGAAAGGAAAGGTTAAAGAACAAAAATAAAACCCGATTGATAAATGTGGATGGATGAAAAGCAAGAATACTAACATAAATAGAAGAATATGAATCATCCTATAATTAAATATTTATTATTAGAGAAAAAAATGGAGGGAGGGATCAAAGACAACGTCACTGATTTTAAAATGGCGTATTTTAAAAACAAAGAAAAAAAAATATGTAAAAAAATATTCAAAATAAATTTCCCTAAAAATCCCCCCAAAAATCCTACCCTTACAATTAGAAAATCCCTCCAAAAATCATTCCCTTTAACAAATCTCCCCAAGAATCCTTCCCTTAAAAAAATCTCCACAAAAATTTTCCGCTTAAAAAAATCTTTCCTTAAAAATCCCCTTCCAATCCATCCAAACTCTAAACAAAAAATATAAAGGCATTAAGAAAAGTTAAAAAAGTCCCCATTTTCTTTTGGTGTTACGTCTTCACTCATTAATGAGGTAAAAAAAGATGCAAAAAAGGGACAAAAGAGAAGAGAACATCCATCCGTCTATGCCACGTCCGTTGGTCGACCAACCCCCTCAATCCGTCTTTGTGTCAACTTTTTTTCTCAAAGAAGAAAAATAAATAAAGGGGGAAGAAGAGGAAGAAAAAATTTCTTTATAATGCCCCCAAAAATTCATTGATATTGTCAACAAGTTGGTGACAAAATAAAAGAAGAAAGAGGAAAAGTGTCAAGACGCAAATGAAAAATAACCCAACAATTAAAAATAAACAAAAATATAGCTTAAAAGGGACTAAAACCTTTTTAGAATTCACGTAATTCTTCGACCCCCGATAACTCGAAAACTTTCATGTGCCTGTAGAAAGGACCCAAAAGTATCAAGAGGAAAAAGGAAAATCCCACAAATTGAGATGAACAGCAACTCGGAGAATAGAAAAACCTTACATCCAATAAACTTTAAAAAATCTTTTAAAAATTTTTTTCCTTAAAAAATCCCACAACCTAAAGAATATTCACTAATAGCCTTAAAAGGAGCTCAGTTTTACCAACAGAAAAAAAGTTTTATCCCCCTTTATCTTTCCTTTAGCCATATTTAAAAAACACACAAACAAAACAAGGGTCGATATATTCGACAGATAATGGACGCGAAGAGAATATTGTGTTGTTGTTTTATGGGGGACTTTTTTAGGTGAACTCTGTTATGGCGCTTAAAAATAAGGGAAGTAGTATAGAGAGAATAAATGAAAAAAGGAATGAATAAATAGTAGCTCTAGGCTTTAGCCATTTTTAATTGACAGACTGTTTGACGTTTTGTTTGCTAGCTTGTGTGCTGCTTTTCCTCGAAAAAAATAAAAAAAATGGCCAGCGCCTTCTCTTTTTATGGTTAAAAAAGCTAATGGGGAAAGAGCTAACTAGGAAAATGAACAGAATAAAAATACTGAAAAAGGAGAAAAATAAAAAAAAATTGGTGTCAGCATTTTGTGTCAACGTTGAACGTTAAAAGGAAAGATAAAAGAGTAGAGAAGTCAAAACTGTGTTGGAGGGGAGAAATAAATAAAATAAATAAAAAAAAACATGATAGAAGCATTGTCTGAAGATATTTCTAGATTACTAGTGACAAGTAAAGAGCAAGAAAGAATAGCCGAAAAAATTAATAAAACCATCTAGTAGGTGGTCTAGCTGAAACTTTTCCAAGTAAATTTTCCAAGTAGAAACTCTCCCAAGGATGGCTGGAGCGCTCGCAATTGATAAGGAAGTTGTTAAACCCAAATTAATCTATTTTCTCTAATTGAAGTAACCCAAGGTTGCTTGACTTTACTCTTTATTATTCTATACAAGGAAGGGCCGGGGTCAGGTTTTGGACCAAGAGGGCGTTTAAAAAAATCCTTATACAGACAGAAAGAATAAAACAATCAAAAATTGAACTAGAGAATTTTAAGGCCAAATAATAATCTTTTAAAATTATTAATGTCTAGTATGAATCATGAAAAAACATATAAAATAGAAACAAAAAAAGAACAGAAAAAAAACTAGTTGACTTGACAAAAGATGTTATTAAAAAAAACTAAAAAGTGCAAGGTCGCGAAAAGAGCAATAAAAAGAGGACCTTATTGCAAAAATAATAAACAAATAAAGGAAAGAAAAAGTAGCAGTGTATGAAAGAGATCAAGCCCAAATGGTCAACACCCAATCTTGAGATATTGAGAAAAGAGAGGACCCAAACTACTCGAAAATAAGGTGGGAAGATCCTGGGAAATCTTCGGAACCGAAAATTTCCGGATATCTGGCTTTTTTCGGATCCGGATCCGCCGACCTATCTCGAAAAAGAAGCCTTACCCACAAGGGGAGAGAAAGACCCTAACTCTTCCAAGACTTACAGACCTTTTTTAATTTTTTAAATTTAAAAAATAAAATAAACAAACAAACCTAGTAAAACACAGCACGAGAATTATACATCAGAATCAACCTCAGAGCCAATCCACATTATTAAAAACCAAAGAAATCCTTTATAGGCTCCTCTCCAAAATAATTAGCACCCAAGTAAATTCACCAGGCTTCAATCCTCTTGAATAAATCCAAACAGCCAATCACAAACAAAACCACCTGTTGAGCACTTCCACAAATTGAAAAAAATTTTGAATGATGTCAGAAATACGTCGGGCCTCCAAATTTTCAAAAATTTCTAAATTAGACCATCTTGGTTAAGTTGGATAATTTTCAGTTTTTAATAAATTATAGGCAAAAGTTCGAATCCCTTTGAAAGAAAATATTTTTAAAATAAAAATAACAAGGCATATAACCTTTTTAACGATAAAAAACTTTTAAAAAATGGAAGAAAAAAATTTTTTAACAACAAAAAACAAACAAAAAAACAATAAAAAATTAAAAAACCTCTTCCTACTCATTTTTGAAATTTTTCGAATAAATCACTTAAAGATTCATAATTCTCCTCTTTTCCTTTTGATATTCTAAATCGATCACCGAACATTAATTTTGTTTTTGTACCAAATTCTTTTAAAGTGTTGACACCCATAACTTCAGAAATTAGTACTACGAAGGATATGTAGCCTGAAAAATTATTTTATAAAATTATTTTGAAGGGGTTGGAGTATGTCACAATAACTCCCAAAAACCGTCAAGTATGATCTTAAAATGTCAAAACAGATATAATACCAAACGTCAATGAGCCAAACGTCAAAAAGACAAACACCCCCCCCCCCCCCCATTCCTCAAAAAAGCCGGCAAAATGCCAGACATTGTACGGTTCCATTTAAACTCCTCTTTAACGATAGTTAGAGTTTTCCCTATTGTTACCAAGGCCATGGTCAGGAAGGGTTTCTTTAACTATAGCCCCCTGGAATCGACCCACTGGCTACGTCCTTGATTGTTCCAACAATGAACGGTTATCCTAAAAATCATGGAAATGTCAATTATCTTTGGTATAACAAACGCTTTTTCCACCCTTTGGCATTTTTGAAGGCTTTCAGAAATGAAGTAAAAGGTAAATCAACTACGATCCAAAACCATAAACCAAAAAAATTCTAAAAGAAAAAATCAAACGTACCCGAAATAGTAATTAACGATGCCAATCCAAATGCTTGCATTGCTAAACCTTGATATATAAAATAATTTTTAAAAACAATTTCACAATAAACCTGCCCCAGAAAGTAAATTTGTTCTAGGCAATTCTCCAGGTTTTAATTTTGAATGAATCCAAGCCACTCTCAACCCATAAATAAAACCAGCAGTTGAAGCAGTTCCACAAACTGAGAAAATTAAAAAGTATTTTTGATGGTTCTTGGATCTCTTCTCGCAGTTAAATTTACTGAGGTTTTCAGGTCCAGGAACCACCGGGTATTTAGATAAAATCAAGTTAAGCGGGGTTATTGGGTTGTAATCCAAAAAAAGGCCCGAGGTCTCCACACTAGAAAGACCCCAGAAAACCAAGCTCATCCCCTTGACTGGGGGGATGGGGCAAAAAACCAAGCCCATCCCAATCCCCTGTCCGAATTCGTAGCCCAAATACTATGTTCCAACCTCACATCAGTAAAAAAACAAAGAATAAACTCACCCAGTTTAAACCATCTTAGCGGGCGATTAAAATTTCCTTCTGTTTGTTGATTGCTGCAATTATCCACAGCTGTTGTCAAATCATTTATTGAACTGCTTGTCGCTTCATCGTTGACCATTACTCGGTACAATGCTAAAAATAATAAAAAATCGCTATCAAAAATCAATAAAAGGTCAAAAAATCTAGGGAATTCCCAGAACGGTAGAGTCCCGACAATTAAAACAAAGGACAGTTGAGTCAGCACTTTTAAGAGGGACAAGCAAAATAAGCTTTATATTCCTAGACAAGAAATGAAAAAATCAGCTTTAATCAACTATTCGGGCACGAAATTTCGGATATTAAGCCTTATAAAAGGGGACACGCCCAAGTAGGCGCACGGCCATGTAGGCGCAAAGCCATAACTACCTTGAAAATTTCTGTTCCTTATTTGGTATCAATCTCTTTAACTCGTTGAGAGGAATCATTTAATACTAAATTTGTTAAGATTCGGAAATCTTGAAGCAAGTTATGGCTTTGCGCCTACTTGGCCGCGCTCCTCTTGGGCTGTACCCCGTATAAAAACCTCAAAAAGCATGGCGAGTCCCCAGACTCAACTGCCCTTTTATAAAATATTTTGGGATTTTTTGTCATTTTCATTAATTTAATTAACATAACGCCAAAAAGCCTGCCAAACGCAGAAAAATTTTCAAAACGCCCAAGCAATATTATCGATTTCCCTAGTGTAATGACAAACAACGTTGAAATTTTGTTGTTTGGCTTCGTCGTAAATGTTTGTTTACGCGTTGACTTTCCTTCCTCTTTTAAAAATTTTACATGAAAACTAAGCGGAGAGAAAACAACCCTTTCACTCATTCAGTCAAATCTCTCCTATTTTCATGTAAATTTTTCATTAAAAATCTTTTTTTTTCAGAGACTTTAAAAAATTTTCTGAAAATTTTCTTGACGATGCCAGTCCAAATTGATACTATAAATGAAGGAGATGGTACCAACTTTCCAAAAAATGGACAAAAAGTTTCTTGCCATTATATTCTCAAATTAGAAAATGGACAACAAATTGATTCTTCTCGTGATCGTGGACGTCCTTTTGAATTTACAATTGGAAAAGGAGAAGTTATTAAAGGATGGGATGAGGGTGTTGCTAAGGTTTGTTTGTTTTTTTACATTTTTAAAAAATGCAGGGGTTCCTCCAAAGAAAAATTCTGAAAATTTGGTAAATTTTGGGAATACCCTCAGAAGGACGCAAATGGGTCAAATTTGCATATACCTCTTTTGAGAGAGCGTATACGTTCAAATAAGTATCCTCATTAATCCCCCCCCCCTTGTGGAAGTTTAAGAAAGGGTTCGATATTACGGGGCGGGGGCTGAGTTTACGGGGAACGGGGGCTTCGAGCCGCACGGTCGGGGAACGGGGCTCTGGGGATGAGACCTCCTCTCGTTCCCTTGGGAATTCCCTACCCATCTGATCTCTTTTTTGGAATTTAAAACCGAGGGACCATGAAGCTTTACTTCACCTACTAAATACATTTTTTTTCACAGATGTCTGTTGGCCAACGTGCAAAGCTTACAATTAGTTCCGATTTGGGTTATGGAGAAAAAGGAATTCCTGGAACGGTTTTTTTGAATTTTTTTTTTATTAAAAATTCTTTCTTATTTTCAACAGATTCCACCAAATTCGACTTTGGTTTTTGATGTTGAATTGCTTGCTGTCAAATAAAAAATCAAGAAAGAAGACACAAATGTTTTTAGAAGAAAAATTGAAAAAAAACTTAAGAATTTAAATGAAAACAATATTCCTCTCTGAATTATTTTAAAGTTAACTTAAAATTTATTTTGGTTTTTTTGGCTTAATTATTTTAAAAAATTATTTTGGATATAAATCAGTTACCAAAAAATTTAATTTTCAATATCGTCAGAATTTTGGTAGAAAAAGCACAATCCTATTCGAATAAATGTTCAATTTTTGAATTTTAGTTCCAATCGGGGAGTTCCAAGCAGGGACGAGTCGAATCATAGAGACCATGACTTTTTTGACCCTATACCCGACCTGAAGGAAATTTAGAAAATCCGATTCGACTTCCTTCTCGACCCAGTCATACCCACTTTACAACAACTAATCATCCAAAATTCTGATTTTTATAAACACTTTCAGCCAGTATTTTTTGTCTATCTTTACCTCTTTCCGGATACTTATATATTTGTTAAAATTCTCCAAAATAAAAATTAAAAAAATTTTTTTCAAATTTATATTAAAAAAACGAGAGAAAAATTAAATTCACACAACCAAAAAAATATAGGAAAGGTCTTTAAACATTTTACCAAAAAATTTCCTAAAGATAGTCTCCCTCATCTATCCTCATAATCATCCTCACTGTCATCATGTAAAAGTCCATCCCTTTGAGCTTTCCAACGAGAAATTGGGCGTTGATTCTTTTGTTTTTTGTTAAAATTTTTGAGATTTTTTGATTTCTGTGTATTTTTCTTTGTTTTTAAAAAAGGTTCACGTTCCATAATTTCGTCTTTAACAATCTTGAAAAAAAATTTTTCTTAAAAAATTAAACAAAAACCTCTTTAGAAACGCTGTATATTCGCCTTTGCTCTTTTTGATCAATTTTTTGCAATTCTGTAGAATCAATTGGTGAATGTTCATTTTTATTTTTCAAAATAGATCGCTCCTTTAAATTTAATTTTAATCGCTCTTTAAAATTTAGCTTTAAAGAGGTTACCCAAACCCGGAATGATTCGACCCAAATCCTATTTTTTCCACGGAACTTTTTTCCATATAAAGAACCTCCAATGTCTCTTTTAACCTCTCAAATCCCCAGGCTCTCAATGACCCGTAACGGAACCCAATCCGAAGAAGAGTTTAAACCCCGATCCGAGTTTTTTCCAACATATACATCACTGGTTTTTGGAAAGTCTAAGGAAATCAGAAATCGAAGAACCTAATCGATCGGTTTCGAACCGATTACCCTAGTTTTCCCAATAATACAATTAAAAAAACCTTTTTCATTCCAATAGGTTGTTGTTCATCATCCTCTAATATATCAGAAAAATGTACACGTCGCCTCTCTTGTTTGGAATGTTGATCATTATTATTCTCTTCCTCTCCTTCCTTCACATCCATTTTTTCTTCTACCTCCATTTCTTCCTCCTCATCTTCACTTAATTCCAGCGAATCACAAAGTTTGACAAACCTCTCATAATCCTAAGAAAAAATTTTTTTAGGTTAGAAAACCCTCAGAACCCCTCAAAATACCCAAAAAAAACCTTTTCAGACACTCCTTTTGGCCTAGTTGGTTTGGTATTATCTTCTTTAGATTTTTCATTAATTTTATTATTGTCTTCATTATTTTCTTCTCTCTTCAGTATTTGATCTATCTCATCATTTATTCGATCCATCTCATCATTTTTTGAACAAGGCTTTGAAAGTGACTTATTCGGTGAAGGGGGCGATTTTTTAGTAGGAGAATGTTGAATTCGTTTACCTTTAAAAACAAAGTGTTCACAAACTTTTTTGGAGAGATTTACAGACCCTACTTATTTTTCCCCAAGCTTTTCTAAAGAGAATTCCTACTCATAGTAACTGACCATTTATTCTAGGTGCTTATAGGCACTGGAAAAAGTCTAACCTTCCTGTATAGGGAAAAAGCTTGGGGAATCTTTATTAGATTGGGAGGAGGATCGAGTTTCGAGTCTCCGGATCCGGTTTTCGGGACAACGTAAAATAAAAATTCCAGGCAATCCGACCTATCCCTTCTAGACTGAGGAACACCTTGAGGCATATAACCCTCTCAACATCATTAATTTTAAAAATAAACCTTTAATTTTTCCACTCCCTTCCTTGTCTTCATTTTCTGGTTCTCGAATTTCCACTAAACCATCGTTTGTCTAAAATCAAAAGAAAATTTTGCTCCAAAATTTGGAGTAACTTACAATATTTAATCTTTCCATTAGAGCAACCTTTTCATTTAGAGATGCCATTTCTTGACGTAAATATTTTAAGGCAGTTTGAAAAGCTATACGAAGAAAAATAAAAATTTCAAAATTAGGGTTATTGGTGACCGGTTATTAACCATTACCCATTCAGTTTTCAGTTATGTCTCTATCTAGCTACTAATAACAAACAAAATTACACCAGTCGAAAGGGTGGATGGATGGCCAAATGTAAATTAGGCCTCAGTTTAGAGAGAAGGGGCCGTTTTTGTTTTTAATATCCGCCGCTAACCCCCCTTAAATTTTTCGAAAAATTCTTTAAAAATAAACCTTCAATTTGTCTATCCAAAATTTCTAAAGCTTGTTCACGCGTTCTCATAACAAATAAATTATCAGCAAGAAAAACCATACAGCGATCGCCTGGCGCTATAATTTCCAAAAATTTCTTTCAATTAAAAAATTTTTTAACCTTGACATTCAATTAAACTCCTAGCATTTTCATAGACAGAAACTTCGTGTTCTTTATGGGCAATAAAGGCTTGGGTATTTTGGAGCTCCTGAAAAAATTATTTTTAAGTTTGAAGCAGTTAAGGCGTCGGGGCCAGGTTTTATTCTTTTACCCAAACCAGGCCTATCATTTTAACAAAAATACCCTTGTTTCCTGGCTACTGGGTCCTTAAAAGACGTCTCCAGGCCCAAAGCTAGGAGGTGAGGTTGGACAGGTGGTTGCCCCCCCTGAAGATTTTTACTGGCTACGGGGTTTGTAAAAGCCGTCACGGGCCGGATTGGAACTCTAATTCTTACTCTTCTAAATTTTTATAAAAATCAAAATCTTAAATATAATTTTGCAAAAAATTGTGAAATCGTGACCCAAAAATTTGAAAAAAAAATCTGAAACAATTTCCCACCATCAAAAAAAAATTAAAAAAAACTAACTAACAATTAAGTGAATTTCTCTAGCAAGGCCAATATCAAGAATATTTGAAGCTGCATTAAAACAATGTCCAGCAACGTTTGAATTATTTTGTTTATTTATAGAAGCATCCATTTAAATATTCAAATTAAAATTAAAATAAGGCTGAAATAAGCTAAAAAATATTTTTAAAATTAAAAAATAATTAAGGTAAAAATTTAAAAAATCATTCAATATTTTAATTATTTAATTAAAAATGATACAAATTTTATGAAACAAAAAATTTAAATTTTATTGAAAAAGTCAATCAAAAACAACAATTTTAAAATGACAATTTTTAACGTCAAAACAAATTTTTTATAAAAAATTTTTTTTGTGTTTTATAAAAAACGAAAAAAAGAATATTTAAATTAAACAGCAGTTGAAAGTTTAACAAAATGTAAACAAACTAAAAAATCAATAAAAAACAATTTTGCATAATAAATTTTTCGGAAAGAAATCGGATGAAACACCTCGACATGTTTAGACGCGAAATATCTTGAGGTATATCTTAAATTGTGATGTCTCTTCTGGAGCAAATTGTTTAATCTCTCTGATGACGTTTGCTTTGATGGGTGGTTTGTTTTCTTTATCAGCAACCTAAAAATTTTTTGGGAGAATGAGAGGGTGACAATAAGTCCCAAAAATAATTTTTGCGGACAAAATTTCCAACTTGCGGACAAAATTCCCATCCTAACCCTTTGTCCTATTATTAAAAAGAGATTTTTAAAAATATAGGAAAGAAGGAAAAGTTACCTTATCAATTTGATGCACAGCTGCATGGCAAATTACTTTGGTCATGTAAAAATGCAGTATTAAAAATACTGCGACGAAGTTTTTTTGGGGTAGGATGCATCTAAAAGTTATAAATATTATTTCTTAAATCTATAACAAAGAACCTGTTTAGGAATACGGCCCAAACTTCTCAACTTTTCCTTTGCTATCTTCAAAAATGTTTGACCTCGGGACAGAACTCCCAAAGCCAAAAGGTGTTTGTTTTTTCTTTGGTGTTTTGTCCATGTTACAAATCCTGAAAATAGATCGATTCTGTAATCCCCGACAAAATATTAAATTAAAAAGCTTGGCGACAATTGGCCATAATTAGGTTAAATCCAATTTTTGAAATAATTATTCAAGTTGAAAAGCATTAAAAAATGTGTAAAATTAATTTTAAAAAATATTAAAAATATATTTTATATATTTTTATAAAATACAAAATTCAAAACAAAAAAATAATTTGAAAAAATTTATTCGTTTAAAAAATAAATGTGTTTATCAAAAAAGTCAAATTAAAGCTAAATAACTTGGCTCTTGTCCAGTTTAGGCGTCCAATCGCATGTTTATACGTCCAAACAACCTTTATAAGTCCAATGAAACGTTTAGACGTCCAAACGAATTTTTATGCCCCCAATGGAAAGTTTATACGTCCAAATAAATTTTTATACGTCCAATGAAAATTTTAGACGCCCAAACAAATTTTTGTGCGTCCAATGCATGTGGGGTCGTTTTTGTGGCCCAGTGAAAATTAAAATTTTAAATTTATATATTGTTCCCACTCTCAGAACACTCTTCCCCCGTCGATGGAACAACATCCCCCGGTGACGGACCAACTTCCCCGTGACGGACCATCTTACCCCGTTGCCGGAACAACTTGGAATTTTTTCTTGAAAAGTAATAAAAGTTAAACTTAAATCCGAATCGCATAAAAATTTGTTTGGACGTCTAAAGTTTTCATTGGACGTATAAACATTTCATTGAACGTATAAAGGTTGTATGGACGTATAAAGGTGTGATTGGAGCCTAAACTGGACAAGAGCCAATAATTTTTAACAATAAATAAAAAATTTAAACTTCATTTATATGAAGGCCCAGGTTGGTCATCTAATTCAATAACAGGATCATCTGGAGTAGGAGATGATGTATAACCATACTCCTTGAAAATAAAATTAATTAGTATTTAAAAATATTAAAGGCACAAAAATTCGGACCTTATCAATTTGATGCACAGCTGCATGGCAAATTACTTTGGTCATGTAAAAATGCAGTATTAAGAATACTGCAACGAATTTTTTTGGGGGTGACATACATCTAAAAGTTATAAATATTATTTCTTAAATCTATAACAAAGAACCTGTTTAGGAATACGGCCCAAACTTCTCAACTTTTCCTTTGCTCTATCTTCAAAAATGTTTGACCTCGGGACAGAACTCCCAAAGCCAAAAGGTGTTTGTTTTTTCTTTGGTGTTTTGTCCATGTTACAAATCCTGAAAATAGATCGATTCTGTAATCCCCGACAAAATATTTAATTAAAAAGCTTGGCGACAATTCGGCCGGCAAAAAGTTTGCCCCGCGACAATTCGGCCGTCGACAATTTGGTCGCGACATTTTGCCCGCGACAATTCGGGCTGTACCCGTAAAATATGTACAAAAAATAAAAATTTATAAACGTTTTGAAAAAGTGATATCTTCCTTAAGGAAAAGTAAAATCTATTTAAGATATCTATCATTATAAGGTACGATTTTAGTCCACTTAGTCGCGATGGTACTTTTTTTCATGTCGCTTAAAACTTAAACCAAGACACAAACGGCGGTACACAATGATCCCCCACCGTTCGATTGATATGTATATTAATTATGGGTACACGACTAATAGGCGCGGCCGAATAGGCGCCATTTTTTCGGCGCAGCATGTTTTCGGCGTTTAGGGAAAAATTTTAAATATACAAATAACTCATTTGTGAGTTCGACGAGCAAAGTCGAATGATATCGACACCAGCTTGTGGCTGGATATCTTGAGAGGATGTAAGGAAAATAAAAAATTTTACAAAATTTTAGTTAATTTAAAAACGTAACAGATATGCAAGGGAAAACAATAACAGCCGTGCTTCGCTGCGGTCGTGCTCGCTTCGCTCGCGGCGCCTCGCCAGGCTTCAATAGTTCCGTAATTACGTAGCGATTATGTGGCCAAGTCCGGTTTTTCTTGACAAAGCGGTTGTTTGATCCATTTATATTACGCATTGATCCATCCATAAAACTATCACCCCAAGGTGAGGAACGGCCAGAGCGTGTAGAAGCTGGAGCACTCAAATCTGAGGTATTAAATTAAAACCTTCTCCTTATTCAACGCTTCAAAAAACCATAAAATTAAAAAAAAAATTTTCCAATTTTTGTCATCTCCTTTTTTACTAAAAATCCAGTTAAATTTTATTCGTTCAATCGCACTTTTCTCTCTCTTTCAATTTCACATCATAAACAACATATGATTTTTTGTCTACGTTATTAAAAGAGGGGGAAAACCTTTTTACTTTGAACCCTCTGTTTAACAAAAAAAATTTTTTTAATCGCTGGTTAATTCCCTTTCTTTTTTCAATTTTCGTCAATAATCACTTCAAATTATCTCGCCAAAAAAATATAAAAAATTTTTGGGGGAAAACTAATCAACCATACAAAGAATTATTATAATCTGCAAATAAAAGAAATTAATTTCTCTTTTTTTTCAATTTTAATCATTTCAACGAAATCATTTCTCGTTTCCTTTCATCTTTTCTTTCTCGGGGGGTTTTTACTTTTTTTTGGGGGAGCACCCCATTTTAATTGATAACAATTTTCCCTTTTTTTCTTGGCAGCCTTCTATTAAATTTTTCAGTTTTTGGGGACCTTTGGTGTTTTATTGACTAAAAAATTAATTTAAAAATTAATTGAAGGAACAAAAAGAGTAAACATATTTTTTTGATAGAACCACTTCTCTTTTTATTAAAAAAATATTTTTTATTTCACGTGATTTTATTTATACTCATTTGTGTACCTTCACCTATGCTGCTTTTCTTTGCAGCAAAATTAAAAAAACTTTTACTTAAAAAATAGTTTGCTATCTAAAAATATATTTAATAAAAAGCTTCAAAAAATGCTGACTGAGCAAACACTGAATTTTTTACTCTCTCCCAAATTTTACCACTTTGGTGTAGTTGGATAGTGTTGGGTTTGGACTACTCAGAGGTCGTGGGTTCGAATCCCACTCAGGGAAAATAATTTTTATTTTAAGAAAATTAAAAATTTTTCTATTAAAAATTGTTAAAAACATCAAAAAATATTTTTTAAAATTTTTATGGAGAAAATAAAAACGAAAAAAATAAAAATATACTAATGAGAATCATGAAAAACATTTGAGCATTAAAAGACGTCCTCTCTGTGCAGGTGCTCCCAACATTCCTTCTTTATTGTTAAACAAAAGACGCTGGCCAGGCATTAAATTTATTACTTGAGTATTTTCAGCACATACACGGCCAAATTTTTGAAGGGATTCGTATAGCCTGTCCAATGATTTCACTGTTATAGTACTTGAACGAGCTGCATTGTTGAAAACACCCTAGAATAAAAAATTGAAAATTTCATAGCTTCAAGCCACGGTAATAGTCGCTGAGACTGACCAGAAAAATCCATGATTTTTTCTACCCCCAACAACTTTTCACCACTTTGGTGTAGTTGGAAAGTGTTTGGTTTATGCTATCCAAGGGTCGTGGGTTCGAATCCCACTCAGGGAATATTATTTTTTTGAAAGAAAAATATGTCATGTTTCAGTCGAAAAAATTGACTATAACCAAGTTTAAAAAATATAAACCGATTGAATATTCCCATCTTCGTCAACTGAACAAATTGGATGCCTTGAACGATATAATCCTCCTCCGTTGTATTCCAAAATCGAACTAGCCAAAAATTCAAATTCTTCTGGTGAGTGTTCTCGTAGTTGTGACAACGTTTTACAAGTATTTACAATTGAAATTTGTGCTGGACCATTCATTGTTTCGATTGTTACAATTGAGGGGACGTGAGAAAGATGAGGCCAGACAGTTCCCTAAATTTTTAGAAAAGTCAGAAAAATTTTAGAAATTTTAAAAATCTAAAAAAGCCAACAAGAAATTACCATGTTCTCTCTAATTGAATACCGGGCATTCTATTTTTCAAGGGGCCTTCCAAAGGGCATTCTATTAGAGAGAGGGAGGCTTCTATTGAAGAGAGACCTCCCATTGGAGTGAATACGGTCAGAAAAAACAACCCCAAATAAAATTCCAAACCGGTTCTTGTGCATAATCTTCCCA